AAATAAAAAATAAAACTCTGTAATGTTAAGAGGCAATTCCATTTAACAGTTCTGTTATACTTTAAAGTACTCTTCTTAAGTTTATGATTAAAATAAGTAGATTAAAACATTTATTGTTATACTAGCTGTGCTCCGCGACTTCGCCCGCGTGGAATTATTTTGCGCGGAATCCTAGAATCTAAAAGTAGCCTAAGTTACACCTTGGCTTGCACATAAATTATAGATATATACTATCGTGGATTTTTTTGTAGAACTATTTAGGAGATTCCACCATACACTATATTCGTGTAACTTAAAGTTTTTGCACCGTACGCCAAAATAGCTCACATATTTTTTCCGACTTACATAACATTTATCGTTATATTTTCGCCAATTTACACAATATCTTTATAAATTATAGCTTGTGTGTTATTCTGATGTATAAGCTATATTATTGCAAAGTTTCATTAAAATCCAATTAGTAGTTTTTACGTGAAAGAGTAACTAACATCCATACATCCCCACAAACTTTCACGTTTGTAATATTAGTAGGATACTTAAGTAGGTAAACACGATATCTTACGGAACCACTTAGTGGATTGACTCCATTTTTAAGGTTCCGTACCTCAAAAGGAAAAACGGAACCCTTATAGGATCACTTTGTTGTCCGTCTGTCTGTCTGTCAAGACCCTTTTTCTCAGGAACGCGTGGAGGTATCAAGCTGAAATTCATATAAAATACTCAAGTCTACTGTCCCTTGGAGCTGTGAGCCAACGCAATCAAAAGATACAGCCGTTTATGCCGCAAATTTTCGACATTCGCAAGGAAATCAAAACCTACAGGGTACTTACCATGAACTCAGAATCTTAAAATTTGGTACGAAGCAACGTATTATAGCACAGATAAAGGAAAAATTGCGAAAAGCATAAATTTTTAGTTACATCATATAATAAAAATATTTTTAATAATTTTAAACTTATATACCTACGGATTTGTTCGGAACCCTCGGAGCGCGAGTCCTACTCGCACTTGGCCGGTTTTTTTTATTCTCTATTGTAGTTGTTACCGGTTTTATTTACGATTAATTAAAAGTGATAACCGACGGCACATTTGCCTTTTTTGTTGCAAAACAACGTCCTCGTGTTGAAACGTTTGAGGCGTGTTATTTATGATTAACATTTTTAAAATCTATTATAGCATATATATATAGTATATATCTATTATAGCATATTACGCAGCGTACACTAAGAATTTATCCTTTGTCATGAAAGTGTTACGTACATAGCATACGAACAAACATCTAGGCCCAAAATAATTTCTCTATAGGCCTTAAATGGCCTTAAATATTTGTTCAGTGCGGGAATTGAACTTGCAATCCTGCGGACTGCGGCGCCGCAACCATTGTATAATTATTATGTTGGAAGTCTTTTATTTCTACAGATATTTCAGTAAAACATTTTAAGACTTTAAGCGACAATTGATAGAATACATTATAAATTGCGACAATTGATAGAATACATTATAAATTGCGACAATTGATAGGATACATTATAAATTGCGACAATTGATAGGATACATTATAAATTGCGGCAATTGATAGGATACATTATAGATTGCGACAATTGATAGGATACATTATAAATTGCGATAATTGATAGGATACATTATAAATTGCGACAATTGATAGGATACATTATAAATTGCGACAATTGATAGGATACATTATAAATTGCGACAATTGATAGGATACATTATAAATTGCGACAATTGATAGGATACATTATAAATTGCGACAATTGATAGGATACATTATAAATTGCGACAATTAATAGGATACATTATAAATTGCGACAATTGATAGGATACATTATAAATTGCGACAAGCCTAATAGTTTCTACGAAAAAATAACTAGTTCTGAGGGACACTGCGCCGGGAGATCGTGCAACAGTTGCAACAAATGATGCAATAAACGCGTTATTCTTTATCTATCTATCTATATAATATACTATAATAAAACTAACACGACGTCTGTCTGAACACGCATCACACAAAAACCTGTGAACCGATTTGGATGGGACTTTCACTGGCAGATAACTGATGTCATAAGGAGTAACTGAGCCTAAGTTTTACTTTTATTTTAGGAAAGGAATTGGGGTTCCGCACAAAAAAATTAAAACCCATGAAATCCAATCACAATAAATGCCACGCGCGCGAAGTCGCGGGGAACAATTAGACACTTTTTTTTATTCGATTATTACATAATTGTTGCAGTCAGACCGCGACAGTCTAAGAGCAATATTGAAGATTTGTAGTTTTGAATTTTAAATTTGTTTGCACTTGTCGGATTAAGCCCCTTATTTCCAACTTCCTATATTACGTAAAAATGCCTTTTTTTCTCCGAGGCCACGACACGTGGCCAGAACCTAAAGGCAATGTAGGCATCTGCCTATAATTTAATTTAATCTTCTTGTCTAAAGCAGAGATTTCAATCAGCAATCACGTCTTAGAATCTGTTACTTTTTTGCAATGAGCAATGTAATAATATAATATATGTACTTCAACAGTCTGTCAGCGTTTATTGAAAAATTGAAATAGTTATTTGTTTTATTTATTTTAAGATTATAATGAATATTTTTTTTTACCTTATCTATTATCTGCTTTGGCTAATGACACTATTTTCTCGACTTCACAGCGTTAGTAATTCATTCATCGGGCAATGTATACGATATTACAATACAGTCGCAGAAAGTATACAAAGTCTCCCTATTATTTCTTGTACTACTATTATTTATTCTGTGCTATTACCAAGTTTATTAAACCATAACTGTGTAAAAATGTTATTGTAATATTAAATTTGATTTGATTGATTTTTTTGATTTAAAAAAAAAAGTTACCCCCACACTAGGATTTTCTCCTGTGTCGTGGAGGCAGTTTACAAACATAAATTGCACAAGGACAAACATCCAGACCCGGAATAGTTATTTGTAGGCCATACAAATACTTGTTCCGTGCGGGATTCGAACCCGCGGCACCCAGCGCAACAACTCATTGCTAAGCCACTGCGCCACGGAACCGTCAGCCGTATTGTAATATTAAAGAATACATAGTTGACCCATAGAACCTATTATGTTAAAGCTGTTAAAAATTAATTAAGATCCGCGTCTTACCGAGTTTGAAGAGCAACTCCCGCCTTTAAATATATGGTTGAAAATAACTTTTGGAAACGAGATTGACGCAAATTTTTTTTGTAAGTTAGTTTGCTCAACTTGTGTTTTAATGTATACTTTTACCGCTGGCTTCTTTCTGGGTCTTCTCAGAACAGAGGTTTTTCCGAATCCGTAGTGAAATTAAAAAAAAATACTTTTATACGAATACTGGTGATATATGTTAAATAAAAAAAAAATATTCTATTCTATCCCTATAGAATAGACCTCAAATCTCACGTTACGATAAGATAGCAGCAGAACACTTCTTTTCTGCCGACTTCCAAAAAGGAGACGGTACTCAATTCGACTGTATGTTTTTTTTTTTATGTCTGTTACCTCATAACTTTGTACTGGGCGAACCGATTTCGATGATTCTTTTTTTATATGAACGCTGATAGTTCTCGTGTGGTCCCATATAAATTTGATCAAGGTCAGACCAATGGTTATTGAGTTATTCTCAAATAACTTATATTGTAGTCGCTTATATTGAAGTCGGCTGTACAAAATTTTTAATTTTAAATTATATTCAATTTCAATTGAAAGTTACATCGAGTATTCCTCCAGTATTGTACAAAGAGTTTTAACGGCGTAAATATTTGAATGTCTTTGGTCTTGTACAACCATATGTGTAGTGAAAAAATTTGGTTATCTGTCTCGAAGATTTTCTTTAGTAAGAATTCGTAAATATTTGTAACATAGATACTCGTTATCGCATCAACCTAAAATGTGATATTATAAACCTGTAGGTTTATCGAAAAGGGCTCGATTTTGTGTCGGTTTTGTAATCAAGCAAGCGAGGATTTGATTAGATTAGATTTCTGAGTACTGTGCCGGTCTGCAGCCAAAAATTCACTTTACAACAAAGTTATCTACTAACTATAATGTCCTCCGGAACGAGTTCGGTCACGGCTACCAGTCTTAACGGAGACTGCTATCCGCGTCGGACAATATTATAGTGCACCAATGTATGTGCAAGCACAAGTTTAGTGCACGCTCTGTTCCCTTAGTCTCATAGTCCGATGGGACGGCAATCTGACATGATCGGAGAGATCCGGCGCAGGACCAACGTCTTACCGTGGTTTCCAAGGCACAAAAGTGAAACACCGCTAACTTCCTGACTCCGGACAGCTATTGAGAGTTTCTTAACAGAAACATCTAATAACTGATTTTGACGCGACCCGAGATTCGAACCTAAGACGCCATCAGACTTATCAGCGGTCGTGCTTCCGACTACTAGACTAACAAGGCAATCAAAATATACGCAAAGTCGTCAAACGCTTTAGTTGGACGTCAGAAAGTAATTCTAACTCTTAAACAGAAGTATATTTACTTACTTCCCTTCATCATCACATGTGAGAAATGCCCCCAAAAATATTACCGTACTAGAAGAGCAAATGCTATGATGAGTCCAGTTAACACGATTTACAGTCTTAGGTCTAGATGGTACCGTATTTTTTTTATTCATATTTCTATGTCTAACATACAGAGAACCACGATTCCTACCACGTATGATCGCGAGGCTATTGAAATCAAAAAACATCCTAATTTCAATAGAGAAGATGGCTGGGTGCCGCCAAAAAATAAAAAATCCCAACCCAAGCATACTACTACAAGATTTCAAGATACTGTAAGTTCATACTGCGTAGATCGGACAAAATATGACATTGGGACGTCGAACACTCCAGTTCACCTGTGACCATGGGTGCTGTAAAGAACTCGAAACGTCGGGAATATAAAATAAGTTAATATACGCGATGAAATCCGTAAAAAATAGTTTTATTTAAAAGTAACGTGTGGTCTATCTTTGTCCTCAGCGAACCAGGACAAGAGTTGGTGGCGGTGCGCGTGGCGATCCATGGCATGACATGCCAGTCCTGCGTGCGCAGTATCGAGGACTCCGTGCGCGGGCTGCCGGGGGTCGAGGACGTTAAGGTAAACGTTCACAACTATGCGGGTCTAGAAAGACCAGTGTCACTGCGACCTGTAAGATCTATTGTGATCGCTGCCATGGCTATAGATCACTGGTAAACCCTTTATATTCAATGAAATAAGAGTTGCTTAGCTATGAGCAATTTCACTTCTTCTGGGCTAAGTACGGAAGTTTCCCAGATGAGTGTTGTTACGTTTGCGCATTAAGGCTTTTTTCACAACAGTGTCCAGTCAGTGTTTTTGCCAGACTACGCAGTTTATTCTTACTTAATTCCAGGGCTTCGGTAGCGTATCTACGATCATAAGCTCGGATTAAGGTTTTAGAATGTTTTAAGCCTGGTATATCAGATGAGGTAAACTTTAATTAGACTTAGATTTTAGCACATTTCATCATCATCTTTGAGATGCTTTGTAAAGTCGGAATTGGCTAGAGAACCTCCTGTATCGTTCACGATTACCTCCAGGGAGTTTTCATGTGTAAATTACACATGGACAAACATCCCCACTCTGGACAATTACGAAGGCCATGGTAACACTAGTTCCGTACAGGATCAAATCGTTTAGCATTTACCCGCATCTATCGTGTAGTGAAGGTCTAAGAATATGTTCTACCCCATATCATCCTGTGGGTGTTGTAAGAGGCAATTAAGGGAAACAAGTCAGAACATGGCCAGCAACATCTTTCTGATAACAGAAAAATAACAATAAACAAACCCCGCTCGCCAAGCGTGGGAATTGTTACTATATCTTTAGTTATATAAAAGCGACCACCAGTCCGCGCTATCCGTGGCTAGGTGGCGACTATGGTAACGGTAACGGAGGCGAAGGGTGCTAAGATTCTCCGGTGAATGTTCGGGTGCCACCTGAGACGATTCGATCTGGCCACATTCAACGCTCGCACCCTGAGGACTGACTAGAAGATTCTGCAGCTGGAAAGAATAAGAAGATAAGAAAAGATAAGAAGTTGCGCTGGGATATTATCGGATTATCTGAGGTCTAAAGAAAGGGGGAGGACATTAAGATTTATGTATAGTTTAAGCACGTGTAGATGTTCAAAAAATCCTATTTAATATTTATGTAGTGACATATCAACTTGCAGGTGGAACTGTCGGAGAACGCTGGCTACTTCCGCTATGACCCTCACGTGTGCTCGGTGGAGGCAATCCGCTCCCACATAGAGGACATGGGGTTCGAGACCCCCACCGACGTCGCCGACGACGAAACCAAGTGCGTACAGTGTACACGTGGCTTAGGTGCCATATGATACTCTTTTTACGATTCTGTGATATTTTGAAGGTTTACAAATACTAACAATATTTTTTTTACGTGGTAGAGGCACGCTGCAGCTATGTTATGGTTGTAGCACGAATGGGTCGGCTCGACCGGGGAAGCACCACGCTCTCACAGAATACCAGCGTACAAACAGCAGCTTAATACTGCTATGTTTTGTATGGTGAGTGTAGAGAACCGGAGACGCTTTCTACTGGAAACGAGGCATTCCATCTTAGTCCTCAGGGATGACAATGCATCTGCGTTTTGATTCGCAAACGAGGATAGATGTAGATGTCTATGGGTCACAGTATCCACTTACGATCAAGTGGACTATGTGCTCGTTTGTCACCTTTATTCTATAAAAATATCATATAATATTGTGCACCACTTTGTCAAGTTTCTTCTGATTATTACGTTAAGGTTCACCTTCATCGTCACGCTAGGCAGGTGGATTGACGATGCTCGCCGTTGCTAGTTTGTATTTGGTGGTGTATTTCACGTGCGGCGTAAACAAGATCGCATATCGCCATCTATCGAAAGTCATTAGATTTTTCTGCCAATTACCATACTTGGCTCTTACGACAGCCACGGGACTAAATATGGTGATGGATAATCTTACTCCAAAAGTAATTTTTGCGTTAGTTTGGAATTATACGTTGCAGTAACTTTACTGCTTACGACTGCCTCTTGGTCCAGTGTTCGTAAAAGCTAATGCTGATCATGAGGTCCAGGTTTCGAATCCTGGGTTGAGCCAAAGAAATCAGTTATTGATTTTTTCTGTTAAGAAATTCTAAAAAGCAAAACAAACTAGTAGCATCCCGGTGTCAGGAAATTGGCGGTGTTTAACCCCCGTGCCTCGGAAAGCACGTAAAGCCGTTGCTCCTGCGCCTGATCTCTCTCCACACGTGTCGTATTACCGTCCCATCGCACTATAAGAGTGAGGTAATAGAGAGAGTTCCTGTGCTTGCGCATACACTTGGGCACTCTAATTCAGTCTCCGTCGAGACGTCGCTGTGACTGAAATTTAGTCTGGAGGATGTTCTTATTATTATTGTGGGGTATTTCTATTGTTTTCGTATCTGGTCGGGATATATAAATACTTATAAATAGATATAAACATATACTATTTACATAAATAAAATAGAATAAAATATACACTAAAGATATACAGAAAAGACTTTAGATAACTTAAAAAAAACTTTAAGATCTGTTGGACTCATTAATTTTCTTTTTCCTCAGAAATCTCCTACCGAAAGAAATCCCCACGGACATGTTGATCGACATGTCGGGGCCTGCGGAAAGCGAGGTGCTACTGTCAGTCGTCGGCATGACCTGTCAGTCCTGCGTCGACAGCATTGAAGGTATGCGGTAATGCGTTCTGACATTAAATAACTGTATCTTACCTTAAGGTGTCTCACGGTGCTTAGAAATGTATGCTTTGACTTCGTCTTAAGTTCAATAAAATCCCTGGGAATGAGGTGGTCGCTTCCAAGCTGTTTCTAAAAATAATGTTTGTAAATATTTTGTACATCCTGCCTTATTGTATTATTTACTTTGAAAAAAGAAATGAAGTCCCGCTGGGTTTCTTGCTGGTTCTTCGTAGAACAGAGGTTATTCTCAGAACCAGTGGTAAAAGTATAAAAAAAATATAATTTCAATAAGAATTCAGAAGAAAAAATAATCTATTTTATTCATTCAATTCAATTTAATTTAATAATTCAATTTCACTAAAAAGTTAAAATCGGTTAATTCTAATTACTAGTCAGTTAATACAACTTGACTTGAATTTGTGTCTAATACAATTTGGTTGACTAAAATATTTTAGTAAATCAGTTGTTATCATATACTCGGTGTCTATTGTGTCTTCCGACTGCAGTAAATTAATGTCTAAATAAAGTTGTAGCGACTGCGCTTCAAGTCAATGTTACGGATTACGGCGCCATTTCACGGATATTATGTTTTGTTTTTACGAATTGTCTAGTAAAGTAACTTGAGAAATGATAATGACAAACCGCAAGTCTTATTGATTATACAAAAGTAGTAGCCGTGGCAGCTTTGGGGCTGATCTATTGTGTCCAGTGCGTGTCGTAAGAGGCGACTAAGAAATATCTTATGATATTTCACAGATGATGGTGTTTTTATTTATTCCCTCCACGATGTGAAATACACAGAGTGGTGACTTGTGGTACTGTGGTTGTTAATTCGCCTGTTGATGATGTTATTAAAGACTTCTGTACATACTAATAGTCCGGTAGTTCAGAACAAAAACTGTTTCATAGTTGTGGACTGCGCGGCCGCATGCGTGTAGCTGGCATATAAAATAATAATTTTAAATATTCCACGCAGTTGTATTTTTATTTGTGACAGTTACTGTTAAAGTTGCATACTTATCTGAAATAAACGTGGTTTATACGTTGATCAAGTGCTAGTGTTCTCGGCTGTTCGCAGTCGACTAAATGAGTTACGGAGTGAGCGTGACTCAGTGCGCAATGTATTGAGGGCGCAGAGCCCGTCTAGTAATTTTATCTAGTTTGAAGAGCACTTCCCGCCCTCCCTCAATTGCCCGTTGCCATTAATCCCTGCACCACTAATCCAAACACTACCATAGGAAAGCCACACCACCGTCAATACGATGCATGTTTCGTCCTTAAATGAGGCATTCTCAGGTGTACACGGTCCAAATAAAGTTAAGCAGATGCTATGGCACATAGACATCTACATCTATTTCTAGTAAAATTGGTCTCCGTTTTTTTACACTCTGCATACGTGACACGGCAGCATTAAGCTGCTATTTTACGTCGGTTTTTTGTGAGAGGGAAAGACCATTCCCCGTTTGAGCCGACCCATTTGTGCTACAGCGATAATATTGATTTGGGTAAAGTAAGGTGTGATTGTATCGGTTATGTGTGGGTGTGTGTGCAGCGCGGCTGCGGGAGCTGGGCGGCGTGCGGAGCGCGCGCGTGCGGCTGGCGGAGGGCGAGGCGCGGGTGCGGGTGGCGCGGGGAGAGGTGGCGCCGCGACAGCTGGCCGACGCCGTCTACGAGCTGGGCTTCGACGTCGCAATCCTCGCCGTCGATGGCCAGCCCTATTCAGGTACATCTGCGCTGGATTCTCAACTTAATTACTTTACTCGAACCACATACAACTCGAAAGCTTTATACATAGCTTTTTCAAATATTCGTTTATTAGCTCAAGTTATTTGACGACTCTGTGGTCCAGTGGTTTATCACAACGAACAAGTATTTGTATAGCCTACAAATAATTGTTCCGAGTGTGGATGTCGGTCTTTGGAAAATTTATGTATGTAAACTGTCCCCAAGATACAAGAGAAAATCCTATATCTTGAAAATCTTCTATCCTGTACTGAAAAAAATAAATTATCAAAGACTTCACTTTTGAGATAATGCAATAGATATATATTATGTGCATTCCTTAAAGATCTAGGTGGAAAATAGGATAAGGAACTGAACATATTTTTATATAGTGAATAACATATATTTTTGTGATGTTGTTATAATTTATTCATAGTAAATTAAATAACTTTAGATTAATTGTTAAATTTTCAATACGATTATATTAATAATTTGTAAATTATATAAATGTAACAAAATCGACACCATAGCTAATTCCTCGTCATTATACACATATGAATTGTCAATTTAAATCAAATGAACCTACACTTAACGATTTTTATTACAGAAATTTATTAAATTGTTGCAGCCCATAGACATCTGCATCTATGCTCGATTAAGAATCAAAATGCAGATCCGTTATTACCTCTGAGAACTAGGATGAACTGCCTCCTTTCTAGTAAAAAGGCTCTCCGGATCTCTACACTCACTGTATTTTGTGAGAACGTAGCCTTTTTCTCACTCTAGACCGACACATTCGTGTTGCAGCTACGTATAGCTGCAGCGTGACCCTACCACGTAAAAAATGGGTATAAACGATGGATATTAAGAGTCAATAAATTGTTCCATTATCTACTAATATCATATCAATTCATCGTACCCGTTATTGTACTTTCGTCAAAATTAAACTTCAAAGTTTAAACTCGACATGACAATAAAAATATAAGAATAAATATTCCAAAATATTATAACATTCACACATGGTTCATAAGATATATTATTTAAAAATTACTAATAATTTTTTTGTATTATCTTTTTTTGCAGAATCTCTATCACAGAATAAAAACAATCGTGACGCAGCCGGCGATGGAATCAAACCAAATTCTCTTGCGAAGACACAACTTAATGTAATTATAATTTTGTATGTTTTACTTTTGATGTATAAATGTACTTATTGAAGACAGGCGCCGTATGTTATTGCAAGCGTAGGAGATATACATAGGCATTCCCTCTGGTTCAAAACAAAATGGTAGACGCGGCGTGCGGTGTAGGTATGCGATATACTTTCGACCATATGTTTTGCGTAAAATGATTTAATTCGTTGGCTGACACGAAAAGAGTTGAGTTGTTGCGGATTGGGAGCAATAAATTAACAGCTCATGAAAGGATAGATAAAACAATACTTTTGAGAAGAGCGGCGGATTTTGTATCTCTTGACGACTCGATGACAGGATGAGCTAAATTTATTCAAAATAGAACAGTTCTGATTTCTTCTCAATAAAGTTACGTGTACCAAACAAGCTTCACTTACGTGTACAACATTTACACGATAATGGCCGTGAGCGTGCTTTCTAATTTCGACATTTTCCTTCTAGTAGCGCGTTACAACGCTTGAGGTCCTACCTCTAGCGGTTCGCGTCAGCGAGTTGTTGACGTGGCATTCTATGCCACACTAGGTATGCGCGGGAAAAGGAGACAGGGAAAGTGTGTTGCGTCAGCCAACCTAACTAATAAAAACATCATGCGCGTTTTCGCAACCACCTTCATTGTAAATCGATGTAAAAAACGAAGGTATACTCGACTGTGTCAGAGTGACTTAACAATGGGGTAATCACGACAGATGTACTCTAAAAACCCAGGCATTAGTGATTTTCACACAATTGTTCGTTTTAGTACAACTACTATAAAAAGCCCTTTATATTGAAAAAAAAAACAATCTTTGGAAATGTCCTAAGAAGAATAATTTACAATACGATAAAATTATATGTTACAAAATTAACAACACAAAAATTTGAAATATAGCGATGACCTCATTCCCAGGGGTTATTGCGATGCCTAAAGCTGGATGTGTTGATGTGGCGAGTGTCGTTCCAGGGCACGTGCGGCGTGGAGGCTGCGGCGAGCGCGCGCTGCACGCTGGAGCTGCGCGGCATGACGTGCGCCTCGTGCGTCGCCGCCATCGAGAAGCACTGCGCCAAGATACGCGGCAAGTCTCGCCCTCACCGCTCACTGCTCACCGCTCACCGCTCACCACTGCCACCTCTCCACTCTCCACTGCCACCTCACCACTCACCACTCACCACTAACACCTCCCAACTTACCACTATCAACTTATACAAATTCTAACCACTAACAACTCATCCACTCACCACTAACACCTCAACACTAACACTCACTACTAACGAAAAGCACTGCGCCACGATAGTGGTAAGTGCTTACCACTCACCACTAACACATCGCCACTCACCACTAACACATCACAACTCACCACTAACACATCACCACTCACAACTAACACCGCAACCCTTACCACTATCATCTCATTCTTTGCCATTAACACCCCACGATGTCGATCTAAAATCGATTATTCGAAAATCGATTATCTAGATTAAAATAATCGATTTTTCAGATCGATTGAAACACCAAATCGATTCGATGAATCGATCCAAAAACCTCTCGAATCGGATCGATTCATTTGATTCAAGAACTAGCTATAAAGTTCCTAAACTGACTGCGGTTTCTTAGTTTTTTTAATTTTTTGGCTGACGCAAAAACAACCGTTCGTACTTAATCTTATTAATTACTTCTTTCTTTTAACTTAGTCAAATTATTACTTGCGCGAAAGTTTAGACATAGTGTAATTAACGTACAGTAGATGGCGCGCGTCTCCTTCTGACAAATTTATTTGAAACTTATACGCCATCATTCCTAATTAAACAATATTACTGTCAAATTTATAACGATAATTCAACAATAATTTCTTCTGCAGTAACAACACGCCAGATACAAGCTAGTCCTACTATAAATATATTAATATATAATCTTATAAATGTGAAAGTTTGTGAGGATGTATGGATGTTTGTTACTCTTTCACGCAAAAACTATTGTATTGATTTTAATGAAACTACAGTAATATAGCTCATACATCAAATTAACACATCAGCTATAATCATAAAAATATTGTGTAAACTGGCCCAAAATATAAAGATAAATGTTAAGTTAGTCTGAATCTGTCATCTTAATAAACCAATCCATAATAGCGTCATACCGTTCATCAGATTGCGGTAAAACTTAAGCTCGTTTTTCACTATGGGATATAATATACATTACATACCGAGATATAAATTATATCCCGCGATCGGCTTTCACTATGTGAGATATATCTTTTAACCAGTGTGCATTAATTATTGGATTATTTCGCCCCGGTTTATCAACCGAAATGGCTATATTGAATCTCAAGCATACCGTTCAGTACTACACTGAAAGAAGGTCACCTGTCTATGCCTTCTTCTTAGATCTATCTAAAGCATTTGACTTAGTAGCATGTGACAGGTTATGGCAAAAGTTGTCGAATGATACGGACCTTCCCTCTGAGTATATAAGCCTCCTGAAGTACTGGTATGGGAATCAGAACAATTTTGTGCGGTGGTCGGGGTCACTATAGGACGTGTACAGATTGGAGTGTGGTGTAAGGCAAGGCGGGGTAACATCGCCGAACCTCTTCAACCTGTTCATTGACTGTCTGATCCGTGAGCTTAGCGGCGCAGGTGTTGGATGTTCGATTAATGGCGTTCTTGTCAACAACATCAGTTATGCAGACGACATGGTGCTGCTGAGTCCATCGATCAGCGCCCTTCGAAAACTAATTTCGATTTGCGAGCGTTATGTGAAAGCCCATGAGTTGAGATACAACGCCATCAAAAGCGAGCTCATGGTGTTTAAGGCGGGATCAAAAACTTACACTGTCCCACCAGTCACACTAAATGGCAGTGTCCTGAAAAAAGTCTCGCAGTTCAAATATTTGGGCTACTGGATCACTGAGACGCTTTCAAACGATATTGATATAAATAAGGAGCGTAGGATGTTGTCTGTTCGGGTCAATATGTTGGCACGTAGGTTTGCGCGCTGTACTGCAGAAGTAAAGGCTACGTTGTTCAGAGTATTCTGCCAATCCTTCTACACGTGCAGCCTATGGGTCAAGTACACAAAAAAAAAATCTTACGACGCTCTACGCATTCTATACAATAACATCTTCAGAGCACTGATGAAGCTGCCACGCTACTGTAGCGCATCGAGAATGTTTGTGGATGCAAAGACGGATTCGCAACGATCATTCGGAAGCGAGTCGCGTCCCTGATTATTTCTATCGATATTTGGAAAAAAATCATGATACCAAAGAGCAATGGCAGAAAAATAGTTGACAAAAATTATAGCCCATTTTTCAAGAGTACCTTTAACCGACGAGCGTGTATGCGTAGGTATATGGATGTGGAGGAAGCGAGAGAGGTGTGTCAGGATCGTGCCAAATGGAAGTCCATAATCTCTGCCTACCCCTCTGGGTGACAGGCGTGAGTGTTTATGTATGTATGTATGTAAAAATTATAGCGTCTAGAAATAAGTTATATATAAAATGAGTTTTATTATTTTTCTATGATTTTTCAAATAAAAATGTATTTTAATTGAAGCCACAGAAAAAAACAAACATTTTTGGGAATATCAAATGACTTAAATCATTTTACTCTATTCAAATGTTGCCATTTAGTATATTTATACTATTTTCGTATACACTTTGTAAGACTACCAACACAACACACAAAATATTTTTATATTAAGTTATTATTAGTAATAACTGTACTATCAATAATAATAAAAATAAAAGTGATATGGCTGAGAATACGTCTCTTACAAAGAATTTCCTACAATAATACATTATCTCAATCATAGTACTATGTAACAATTCCATTTAATGTTATGCCAACACTAGCTAAAATAAAGTCACTGTTTTTTTTTTACTGGTTTTACGGCTCTGGGTTCTTGCCCTTCTGAGAATGTCACTATGATACAAAAGACCTGGAGCCATGCCAGAAATATACATTTATAGTATGCAAATATATAATACAGATACAATAATCTAAAAACTCTCAATTATGTATTATGTATTAAGCTAACATCAAACAACCACAGGAAGCATGACTTTTTCCAAGTGACATAGGACATAACCTAAAAAGTTCAAATGTAAATATCTTTTTTTTGACGCCTTCTCAGTACTAAATTCTTTGACAGAGTTATTAAGGGACTTACGCTTAACATTTTAAGATATTTTTGGTATATAGACGCTACCATTTCTTTTCAACTAATTTTATGTATGAAAGTCTGCCATTGTTCTTTAAAACTAAATTGACAAGTTATAGTTTTTACGATTCGCCAATTAAGGCAGGCAAAGGTCTGAAACCATACAGCCTATTCTGATGTGAATTTTAATAACATCAAACAAAGAAGGCTACATATACGTTGTCATCTAAGATGGAATGCCTCACAGTCTGTAATCATACTGGCTCTCTAATCAGACCAGAACACAACAGTGCAAAGCTGCATCTTGTCCACTGAAATAGGTAAGATAATCGTACCTACCCTGACGGACTAATAAGCACAAAAGAATTCTACAATCTAGTAAAATACTAATGTAGAAGAACAACACATTGACATAACATGAAGCGCTATTTTCACGTAACTGATTCAGCCTATTTGTGTATACCTAAATTAGTAAAGAACACGTGGTGGTTATCTTATAGTGTTAGAATCTTTTAGTTCCAAAACAGAAGAACCCCCTCTTAAATGTTGGTGATCATAATATAATTGTTTTATCCAAACCCAACGGAAGTTTATTTCCGCTCCTCAAATTCTTATTTACATATTTTATTAGCGCCTGATAATTTATTTTTTTCTACGTGGTAGAGCCATGCTGCAGCTATATTAGAAGTATAGTTGTAGCACGAATGGGTCGGCTCGACCGGAGAAAGACCACGCTCTCACAGAATACCAGCGTAAAATAGCAGCTTGACACAGCAGTGCTTCGTATGGTGAGTGTAGAGAACCGGAGACCCATTTTACTGGAAACGAGGCATTCCATCTTAGTCCTCACGGGTGACGACGCATCTGCATTTTGATTCCTTATTGAGGATAAATGTAGATGTCTATGGGCCGCAGTAACCACTTACCATCAGGTGGACTGTGTGCTCGTTTGTCACCCTATGCTATAAAAAAAAAGTTACAATGAACTGCAACAAATGCATAGTTATAAAACATAACATGTAATTATAAAAGTTCAATTTAAGAAAAAATCGCAAGTTCTGGAAACTTAATGTTTGAAAATGTCGCGATTAATCGAAAATCGATCTTTTAACACATTCATCACCACTACGATTTTCATGATGTCTTCTCGGATGCCGTCTACATTTTACGGTTGACTCGCTAGGCGAGTCGCCGGCACTGCAATATAAATTGAATCGACTCGCCACGCGAGTTCACTGGCACTAAGTAAGGGTAAATTCTATGTTTTGTAATTTTTGTGGCCGTCACAGTGTACTTAACGTGTTTAACGCAATTAAAAAGTGTTTCAGGACTATTCGGCTTGTAAAAATGGCAAAAAACTCTTTGGATAAAATAAAAGGTAGTTTGTTTCGTAATTTAAGCAGTGGTTGTCAATCTTTTAAATTGTGGTTATTGTTAAGGTTATATTTTGAATTTCTAATACTTGTGAATAGACAATTTTACCATGAAATAATTTAATATATATCCTTAATCCTAACTTATGTTAAATTCCGACAAAATCAAATAAATAATTAGGAGTGCATAAAAGTGAAGAAGTGTTCACTAACTCTCAACACTAGTCCTACTAAATTCCCATGCAGCTGTGTGAGTAAAAGCCTTATTATTGAAGTGTTATAATTTTTTTTGCATATTAATAAATAGTTCAAACGAGAAAAAAACGCTTAATCATTGCGTCATTGAATAAAACAGGGATAACATAAATGAATATTGTATGCACAGGACGAGAGATCAAGTGATATAAGACGAAAAGACCTTTTGTATAAGAAGCGTCAATCAACGACCAGTTGCTTGACCTCTAAGCAAATAGTAACGAAACATTGGAGCTTGCAATAAATACGTAATACCTGATTGTTTATATTGCTCTGGTACATTGTTTTAACGTCGCTTTATGATTTCTCGCTCGCCACCGCAGTCTACTTCGCAGCCGCAGAACATTGTTGCTACTAGCGCGACCGACACCTACGTCTCGACGGCGGCCATCAACTTTACATCGCAAACACTGCCATTCAGACCCAAATATTTATTCCGATTCCGATGGCCAGCCGAACAGCTTACCGTACCAAAAGGAAGCGTGAGGATGAATTCGATACATTTAAAATTGATGTTAATAGAATGTTTAAGGAACTTATTCGAGAACAACAACAACAACAACACGCACGCACGCCCACACACATTCTTTATCTACTTTTGATTGGAAATAAACGATTATTATTATAATACGGGCTTTCAGTTTTAAGAATATGGTATGTATTATTTTTATTGTGAATATTAGTTCCATATCACAAGTATGTAGGTAGTCCATGCTACTATGTTGACGTCGTTATCTAACATGTAAATGGTTGAGGATCTATGTCAGGGAACTCGCCTAGCGAGTTCAAGGCATTGCAGAATAGTTTGTTTCCTTTCAAATTTAAACGGAGTCTCCACACCCGGCCCACCATGTAAATCTTTAGTTTAGCATATATTTAGTCTAAACTATAATTTTAAGCAGAAAATACGGATGCATTTTGGAAATATTAGTGAAAAACACTGAACTCGCCAGACGAGTCGTCGGCACTGGAATAAGATTTACGTGAACTCTCCGGGCGAGTCGGTGGTACTGAATGTGTTAATGCTCGATTTAAACGATAATCGATTCAAGTATGTTCGATTTGAATTGATTCGTAGATCGGTTTTTTTAACCGTGAATCGTCATGCATACACTCCACTAATCACCACTAACACCTCGACACTCACCACTAACATTCACACTCCACCTCAGCTTACATAGTGCGCTCGTACCACTCGCACGATCCTCGAACGATTGGGTATTTTTTAATTTATATTTCCCGACCAAGCCCTTTCTGGAAAAAAAACGCTTTAAAATTATAATTTCAACTAATACGAAAAATGTTACATCAACGGGCAGCGAAGAAGATTTTTAATCAAAACCTGCGGTGCAATTATATCTGATCTAGTGGAAATCGTTTCTTTATAAGTCATTGTCTTTTTGATATTAAAATCTTATTTAGGTTACAAAATATTATCATGTGAGAGTGATTACCAGGGACAAATAAGTCCCACGAGAATCGCACTGCTAATATTGACATTACAATTGGGCGTGCCTTATATAACTGAAAATAATAAAATAATTATTTTTTTCACGGCGACTTATATAACATTCGCATTTAAGAAACATCATAAGTGGATGTACTTACCCCGGTAGTATGGCTGTTTTTGAATTGTTTTATCTCCCACAGGCGTGCAGTCAGTGCTGATAGCTTTGTTAGCCGCGAAGGCTGAAGTCCGGTACGAGCCCGACAAAGTATCCGCGGCTGACATCGCAGAATCCATCACGACGCTGGGCTTCCCTGCAGAGGTTCTCAGCGACGGTGACGATTGTGGACAGAGGGAGCTCATATTGAATGTTAGTCTCAAGCAATTACTAATAGTTCTCTAAAAATATTTCCAGTTTCTCATTACTTGAATGTGTGACTGAACTCTCTCCCTCTTTTTCCTTCTCTCTCTCTCTCTCTCTCTCTCTCCCTCTCTCTCCCTCGGAACTCACAAGCATAATAAATTGGTGAAGGTATAAGGTCCTCCTACAGAATTTCTGTCACGGCAGCTAGACTGAACGGAGACTAGCCATCTGTGTAGGACAAGATAATAGTGCGTACTTAGCGAGGCACGGGCGTGAAACGCGACCAACTGTCTGACTCCGGGATGCTACTGAGAATTTCTTGATAGAAAAGCGCATTAACTGATTTGTTTAGCCCTCACCCTGGATTCGAACTTGCGAGGCCTCATGATAATTGCGTTTATGACCAACGAGGCAGTCAAGGTATATTAAAGTGTGATGCATCACCTAATTCCAGTCACAATAGCAAATTAATCGAAAGGGAATTGCAAATCATCCTACGCAGATGGCTATTCTGAATATGTATACTTGAGTGTATGAGTAAATTTACAAACATATTATTTTAGAGTCTTTACAAATGAAAATTCATGATATTTTTCCGAATGTGTTCTATGTAAGATATTCATGAATATAAAGAATAAAATATGTCTTCTCATATTATCTTGTGGTATACTCAACATTTGTTGCATTTTAAAAGGTATTACTTAACTTGTTACTCTTCCTACTGTTTATTCAGTTAATCACAAAGTATTTATAATTAAAAATATAGTGTAAATAATATGAGAATTATAAATTCCTCTTAAAATATAATAGAGACAATATCAAACGTATATGAAAAAGACGAATCTCTAAAATAAAATGTCTACTTTCAGATAAAAGGCATGACGTGTTCGTCGTGTGTGAGCAAGATAGAAAAGACTGTACTTAAACTGAGCGGCGTCGCGAGCTGTTCGGTCGCGCTCGCCACCTCCAAGTGAGTGCTCACCAGCAAGTGTTATGTACTTCACGGTACCGTGTATAGGCGTAATATAAGAATATCCACTACTCTATGTTATCCCGTGAGTGTCATAAGAGGCCACAGAGGAAATCTAAACCAGGAGATGGGCAGCAGCATCTTCCTGATATCAGCTGAATGAAAAAACAACTGCGGTTGCCAACCCGCAGTTAGAGAGTAAGGAGAGAGATATTTGCCATAATTGCCATACATGGCAGGTGAGTTGGTAATCGCAGTTTTTTTATTTGAGCTGTGATCAGGAAGATGCTGCTGCCCGTCTCACGTTATAGTTTCCCACTCGCCTCTTACGACACCTCCTTTTATAATAAAACTGAAAAACGTACAATGATTTTCGATATTCACGTATTTATGTAATTATGTTAATCTAAAATATAAATTATGTATGATTGACGTGCAGTGACGCTTTTCTCAAAATCTATATTTTAAATAATATGCAAGATATTTTGGATCCATTGCATGTACGAACGTATTAAGATAAACTTACTCTGAGTTAATATTGTAAACTATTTCAGATGTAAAATAAAATACGACTCGGAAGTGATCGGTCCACGAACTATATGCGAGGCGATCAACAACTTAGGTTTTGAAGCCAGCGTGACCAGTTCACACAGCCGCGGCGCCAATGGCTACCTCGAACACAAGTAAGGTGTACATAATAGTTTTTGAAGTAAAAACTACTTTAGAATCGGTGTGATTTGAAACTCAATGAAATTATAAACCAACACTTAAAAGAGACAAACAGCCTGGGAGAGAATGAGATAGAAAACAGTATACAGTTTTTCCTCTATGAGGGCTGCTTAAAGATAGTTAATATAACTTTTAACTATTAAAACAAAGAGTTGAAAAAATTAAGAAACTTATTAAATAAATAAAATTAATCATATGGAACAAAATGGTCATATCCAATCCGTTTATAACAATCCAGATTTCATAACCTACCGATTTATTATATTAAATTAGTCGTGTTAGGCCATTTAGCGACTCTTTTACGTACCACCTTAAGAGCCAATCAATTGTTGTTCGATAAAATGACTTTACCTATAGAATGAAGTAGATGGCGCTATTACAAAGCAATTTTACTCGCAATTTTCTAAAGATATCACTTCTACCGCGTGTGAATGACTTACTAACTTACAATCCACCTGATGGTAAGTAGGCTACTGGATTTACTGTACCCTTTAAATCGGAACACAATATTGCAAGCACTGATATTTGACGGTAGAAGTGTGTACGAGGGTGGTACCAATCCTTCCAGGTGGTACCAGGACTTCTAGGAGAACAGGAATTTTACGAAGCTTTCCAGCCGAATAATCTCTGTATAAAAATCAATTGCTGCATGTTAGTCTCGCTAAAACTCAATAACGGCTCGACCGATTTTTATTTTTTTTGTGTGTTTGAATGGGTCCCTCGATTGTTCAGATTTACATTTGAACCCGGTAGGTGGCTCTGGCGGTGCGAAAAAGGGCGGATCGCTAGTAAAATCTATACAAATAAATAAAATTGAAGTGTCTATTTGTAATGTCAAAATTACAGTTTTTTACTAAATGCATATGAAATTAAATACGGTACTTATAACTAAAATACAATTGTTAAAATTTTTGTCTGTCTGTTTGTTCCGGCTAATCTCCGAAACTGGACTGATTTTGACGGGAATTTCACTAGCAGATAGCTGATTTCATAAGGAACCTTTCTCTCTAGCGTTACCAGGTTTAATTAATACTTTCTGTAGCAAGGAAGGTTATGTTTTACTGTTTCTAACGATTGTATTTCCGTAGGGAAGAGATAAGAAAATGGCGGAACGCGTTCTTGGTGTCGCTGTTGTTCGGGGGCCCGTGCATGGTGGCGATGGCGTACTTCATGGCGACCATGGGGCAGCACAGCGCCAAGGACATGTGCTGCGTGCTGCCCGGCCTCAGCCTCGAGAACCTGCTAATGCTGCTGCTGGCTACACCCGTGCAGGTCAGCCTCCACCACACACTGACCAAATATTTCTTCCAATTTAGCTTTGTTTCAAACTCTTATAGACGCTTCTATACGTGGTAGATCCACGCTGCAACTATACGGAACACATTCACAATACCAACGTGAAATACCAGCGTCAGTGTGGAGAATCTTAGTTCTCAGGGTTGACAACGCATTTGTATTTTGGTTTTTAACTTGTCAACTTTATTCTGATTATTACGTTAAAGTTCACCGTTGGATATGAGCTTCTCGTGGTATAGCGAGGTTTTATTATTATTTAATTTATCATTTCATGATTCAGGGGGAATTTTGTCATAAATATTACGCTTAATAGATGGTTTGGATACCACAGTTTTTATACTACTATGTGGTAGAGCCATTTTGCAGCTATATTATGCTTGTAGCAGGAAGGGGTCGGCCTGACCGGGGAAGGACCTCGATTCCACAGAATACCAGCATAAAATAGCAGCTTTATACTGCTGTGTTTTGTGGTGAGTGTAGAGTACCGGAGACCCTTTTTACTGGAAACGAGGTATTCCATCTTAGTCCTCAGGAGTGGAAAAGTATCTGCATTTTCATTCTTCATCGAAGATAGATGTAGATGTTTATAGGCCACAGATGAAATGTGTGCTCGTTTGTAACTCTTATGATATAATAAAAAAATTGATTTGTTACTAAGAATATACGGCTGCCCAGGTCCTGTTTCAGTTTCCCCCTGTGTCTTCTTGGTATTGAATATACTTACATCAACGCTACGTTGTACTTTGTTAACTGTATGCTATCTATTATTATCAGCCTTTAAATTTAAAGCTTATTCCAATCAATGACGCAATTTTTACTGTACCTTTTTATATGATATTTACGCGAACATTATACATTTAAATAAATCTATTTTATATTCGCGATGTTTCGAGTACTTTACAGCACCAATATTCACCCGTAAATACTAGTTTTATTGAAACGTACTTTCTACAGTTCATAGGTGGATGGCATTTCTACAAGCAGGCGTACAAAGCTCTACGCCACGGAACACCTAACATGGACGTCCTGATCGCGATGACGACGACTATCAGGTATATATATATACATATGTGTTCAATATTCACTCAGAAACAATTGTAGTAGTAATTATTGTGTGACGAATCGTTAATAGATGGTGCTGTACTTATATTATACTTATAACATGGGTTCAATAAATCGCGGTGTTGAGAATTGAGCTCTATCGGAGTTGTATAAAGGGATTTGTGACAATGAACGTGTTGTGTCTTTGACTTGGCGAATCAGTTCGTTTTTGTCATATGAGCTCGGAGCAATTTTGGGACCTCAACAATATGTTATGTTTCGTTCGCCTCAAAAGATAACCAACGAGGGCATCCAAAACTTATTCTGCCTCCTGGGCGGCGCAATTTTGGATAGAGGCTCAATTTCTTTAACAATTTCATATTAGGAAAGTTTCATTGTTAGGAAAATATAAAAATTAAATATTTCTTTTGGAAATATTACTTGTATTTTACATTTAATTAATTAAATAAAAATGGATACATCAATCTACGGATATTCTTTGAAGTAAAAGAAATAAAAAGAGAGTTAAAAATGTGCAAAAAAAATTAAAGAGCGGCCACTGAGAAATTGTTTTGTGTATATAGGTATATACACTAAAACCAAAAAAATATATATTTGAAACGCATAGTTACCTTCACCTCAGTCTCAACTAGCGACAGTTAGAGAGCATTAAATTATTAGCCCCCATTTCTTTAATTTTTATTTTTGAACCTTTGCAATAAATTATACAAATATTAAGTGCACGTCAAAACTGCACATGCAAAATTTTGCTTTTGTAGTGCCCGCTAGTGCTCACAGTCACTGTATTGATTTCTGTGGTAATGGTAAAACAATGACTTTCTATAAGAATTACTTGTAATCTATATATTAAATCAAAATATTCTATTCCATTCTGTGTTCAGTTATGGTTACTCCCTGGCGGTGGTGATAGCTTCGATGGCGATGCAAAAGGACACGAGTCCTCTGACATTCTTCGACACGCCGCCCATGTTACTGGTCTTCGTTTCACTGGGCAGGTGGTTAGAAAATATTGCAAAGGTATGCTCATGGATTTCTTCCTGTCCTCTCAATTTAACATATATGAATAATAATTGTAAGGTACGTGAGGGTAACATGGTCACCTTAAGGTTTGTCGCCCTATAAAATCAAAACTAGAAGGAGGATAGAGGCAAAAATACAAAATCGTCCCATGTGTGTCAACACATGGGACGATATTGAGTAGTGGAAATTCTTTCACCACTTGCCTTTTGTTGGACTTTAATTCAAAATGTACAAAATTGCAATAATATCTGAAGAGGCGAGGCAAGTCTACCGATGAAATGAAACAATTTTCTCCAACAATCAGATCGGAAAGTTATATTTTTGACCTTTTGAGAAAAATATTTGAGGCCATTTACAATTTCCTCGAAATTTATTTCTTTTTCAATATAATGTTAATCAAATATAAATAGGTAGATACTTAATTAAGTATCTACCTATTTATATTTTATAAAATGATTTGCTGGTAAAATAAAAAACGAAGACACGGAGTATATTATGGCTGCTTTATTTTTTATATAATTATTACCTTTAATATTTATAAAACAGAATCGGAAACAGAAACAAAAAAACAAAATCATTTAATCTATACTAATATAATAAAGTGGAAGAGTTATTTTGTTTTTTCTTGTTTGTTTAAACACGCTAATGTCTGGAACTACCAGTTCATATTTAAAATGTTTGTATATAATAGCCAGATTCATGAGGAATAGTATATAACTATCAGCTAACTTTATATATTGATTTTTCTTAAGCAAGTCGGAAGAAAAGGTGCTCTCTAACTGCTTTATCCACGTGCGCTAGAGTAACATTTAGTATTACATAAATACGATGTTCTACAAAAATATTGGTCTTTGCTCCATCTAAAAAAAAGTGCGATACCATATGCCTGTGGCGGCGCTGTCGTCGCGCCACAAGCGAAACATATCGAAGCCTAAATCGCACTAAGTTCCGAAGTTAAAGCAGCATATATAGAATAGCTCCGAACTACCAATCAGAGCGTTGGCCGCTCCCCGAGCAGAACACCTTGCCCCAGCGGGAGATCTCCCCTTTTTTCTTTCCACCCGCCACATGCCTATTTCTTATACATAAGCCACAATAAGTTATTTTGTGAAAAAAAAATATATTGAAAATGATAAAGTGATATATGAGCGTTATTATTAGGCATGGCATATTAACCATTACGAACGAAAGTTCTTCATCATCAAGACAATTTTATGAAGATAAACTTTGCTCTTTATAGCATGTTATTTGGACGCATAGGTTAAGAGATAATGAAAAATTAAAATAATGAACACTGCTCGGAGCGCGAACGACCGCATAAACCCTAGCCGCCCGATGAGATTCGAGAGAAACCAGCAGTGAACGCCTATATTGGTCCGAGAGCTCATGACGCATTTTTTAAGAAGTGTTTGATGCATCATGAAACTTTGTCCATAATGCGTCTGGACTACCCATTCAATGTATTCACGTATACTCATTTGATCAAAAGTGAGACATAGTTTTAGATCAGGCTTCTTTTTTCTCATTTCTCTAATAGTGTTTAAAGATAAGAAGATTAATAATAAGAAGATTTCACTAAGAAAACCAGGTTCACAGTCTAGTCTGGCATACCAGGTACGCAATGTGTTAACGTGTGGAAGACACAAATCAAATTTTTCACGTAAATAATTATATGCTCTTGGACTATAGAAATGTATTGTGACAGCAAATTTTCGTAATTCTTCGTTATATTTGGATGCAGACACTATTTACCACATTTTTTAAAATTAACCATGTTAATTAAATTCTGTATCAATTCATTGCTACATGCCATGGTGATATCGCTATAGTGATCTTTCAATCCTGGTCTTGAACGAATTTCTTCAAGCACGTTTTGCAATGTAACAATTTTTTTAGCCTGTCTTTTAGTTTTTGCTGCTAAGCTACGTATTTTCGTTTGTTTTTCTTTCAGCTTTTGTTTTAATTTCTCGATTTTAGATAAAAGATTTTTTCTTGGTGTAAATTGATCACTTCTTTCTTGTGATTTCAAAGGTGGAGGGGTTATGTCACGAGTGATATATGATGAGGCTACTCTTGCTTTCATCTGTCCCTGAAAAATATAAAGTAATAATAAATTTATTATCATATTAGCTGCATGAATTTAAAAAATATAATGATCTTAACATAGACAAGTCAAATACGCTGGAGACATTAAAGTGCACCAAGTGTCCGAGGATACAGATGCACTCTTCTTTTCTCTCAATCGCAGTATGTTAAGAAAACGGTCACCCACACATGGACCGACCGCAGCAAGTGCATCTTTATCTTGCAGATCTATTGATCTACGCAACTGTTACTTAACTACGAGTTCCTCTTCTCTACGAGTAACGCAGTAGGTAATGAAACACACTATCAAGTTCTCATCGAGCTTCAAGCATGAATCGGACATCAAGCGTTGCGCGTATCAAATACTATGGAATTTATTAGTATAAATTCCATAGTATTTTTTTATTTATTATTTGGGATTATTGTTTTAAGTTTGGGGTAAACGTTTTTACGTCCAACGTACCAGGGGAAGTTCGCGATTTTCTTTACTGCCTGATTTTCTTTACTTTACTACCTGCAGTGTTAGCCAAGTACACTTTCTAAAATCATTAATGCTAGTTAAAAAAATCAACGATAAGTCTGAACTGATTAGCAACTTGGTTAACCGCGCTGGAAGCTTTCTGTCATGCAATACACGCTTGAGCTACTGAGACTCCACTCTGCACTATCACAGGTCACTTGTGCTTTCTGAAACAACGGTAGCTAACTGAGATGGAATGGCTATGAGATTACACCGTTTAGATATTGGTTACTTACTACGGATAATTTTTTATAAGCTCTATGACAATGTATACGATTAAAACTTATCACTTCCTCGGTGGCCGCAGTAATAAACGCACTAATATATAAGGTTTTTGCTCTATTTCTATCGGGCTGATAGTCGGGGTAGTCCAGGAGAAAAATCACTTCAATTACAATTTCATAGTACGCCAGAAAATCGAGATCGTACGATTTAGTGTACCAGGATAGTTCCTGGTACACTAAATCGCACGCCTCATGGCATCTAGTGGCGCTTCAGGAGCATTACTCAATAACCATACCTAACTACGCTAAAAGTTTTATCATTGTGACTTAGGAATATATTCCAAAGCTCCGCACAACCCCTTGGGGAAAATATATAATAATAGAGATAGAGTTATATAATGTATAAAAATCTATCTCTATTTTTACCTAAAGTTTTTGAAGTAAAATTTTTATACCAGCGTAAAATACGAGTAGCAGTTTAACACTGCTGTGTTTCGTATGGTAAGTGTAGAGAACCGGAGACCCATTTTACTGGAAAAGAGGAATTCCATCTTAGTCCTCACGGGTGATAACGCATCTGCATTTTGATTCGCAAACGAGGATAGATGTAGATGTCTATGGGTCACAGCAACCACTTACCATCAGGTGGACTGTGTGCTCGTTTGTCACCCAATCCTATAAAAAAAAGATGTCTTATTGTAACAATATTTTTTTTTTATAGGAGAGGGGGCAAACGAGCATGCGGCTCACCTGATGGTAAGTGACTACCGCCGCCCATGAACAACTGCAACACCAGGGGAATCGCAAATGCGTTGCCGGCCTTTTAAAAAGGAGTACACTCTTTTCTTGAAGGTCCCTAAGTCGTATCGGTCCGGAAAAATCGCTGATGGTAATCGATTCCACAAGGAGGTCGTGCGAGGAATAAAACATCTTCTAAATCGCACAGTGGTGGACCGCCAATCATCCAGATGGTGTGGATGGTATCGGGAGTTCTGCCGCGATGTGCGTTCGTGAAATTTGGCGGCTGGAATTAATCCGAACAATTCCTCAGAGCACTCCCCATGGTAGATGCGAAAGAAAGTGCAAAGGGATGCAACATCTCTTCGCAGTGCCAATGAATCGAGCCGATCGGAAAGGACTCGGTCGTCGACGATTCGAGCCGCTCTGCGTTGGATGCGGTCAAGTGGAAGGAGCTGGCACTGGGGAGCCCCTGCCCAGAGATGGGAACAGTATTCCATGTGAGGCCGAACCTGCGCCTTGTAAAGTTGCAGGCGGTGTGCCGGCATGAAATGCTGTCCCGCTCTGCTGAGCACGCCAAGCTTTTTAGAGGCCAATTTGGCCTTCCCTTCCAAGTGACCACGAAACTGCACGTCACGCGATATGTCGACTCCGAGGATACCGATACTGGCTGAGGCAAGAAGGGGAGTGCCTTGAAACTGAGGAGATACGACAAAGGGGTTGTTTTTAGCGGTAAACGCGCAAACTTGTGTCTTCTGAGGATTAAACTGGACTAGATTTAGTCGCCCCCAATCCGAGACTTTGCTCAGCAAAGACTTGACTTCAGACACAAGTTTGTTCCGGTACTCAGCGACGTTTTCCCGAGAAATATTGGCACGGCCGGTGTATAGAGCATCACCAGTGCTGTCATCCGCATAGCAATGAATGTTACCAGTTAGCAACATATCATTGATATGCAGAAGAAACAGCGTTGGTGATAGCACACAGCCTTGTGAACACCAGCGTTAATAGGCTTGTAGTCAGAGCATGCACCGTCTACAACGACCTTGATGCTCCGATCTGCAAGGAAGCTGGTGATCCAATTGCACAATTTCTCGGGAAGCCCATAGGAAGGGAGCTTCGAAAGAAGCGCTTTGTGCCAAACCCGATCGAAGGCCTTCGCAATGTCCAGACTAACGGCCAGCGCCTCCCCCTTGGACTCTACTGCCTCCGCCCATCTATGGGTCAGGTAGACCAGAAGATCACCAGCTGATCGACCCCGACGAAAACCGTATTGGTGGTCACTAATCAGCTGGTGGTCCTCAAGGTACCGTATGAGCTGGCAGTTAATAATGGATTCCATTATTTTGAAGAACAAGGAGGTGATCGCGATAGGCCTATAGTTGGATGGGTCTGAGCAGTCGCCTTTTTTAGGGATCGGGTGGACAAAAGCTGTCTTCCATGAATTCGGGACTACGCCTTGGGAGTAGGAGTACCGGAAAAGACGCGTTAGGACCGGTGCCAACTCCGGAGCACACGTCCTCAGCACAATTGGGGGGATCCCGTCAGGCCCACTCGACTTCTGGATGTCCAGGGAGAGCAGTGCTTTGCGAACCGAGCGCTGTGAGAACAGCACATCCGGCATGGAGCACTCACACCGCGGGATGGTCGGCGGTGTTTTCCCCCCGTCATCAAGAGTCGAGTTGGACGCAAAAAGGGAGCCTAAAAGGTCGGCTTTGTCTTTTGCGTCATGGGCCAGTGAGTCATCCCCCCTGTGCAGAGATGGTAGTGATGGCTTACAGAAATTCCCGTGGACAGCCTTGGCGAGAGACCAGAATGCACGGGTTCCCGAAGGAAGGCGAACTAGTTTCTCGCCAATTCTGCCTATGTGCTCTGACTTTGCCTTGGCAATAACTCTTTTGAAGGACCTGGAGGCGAAGTTATACTTCTTTTTAAATGTGCTGGTGTTTACATCCCGAGTCGCCGAAGCCGCAGCCCAGGCTTGATAACACTCCTGCTTACTGCGTAATGCAGTCTTACAGGAGCGAGCAAACCAAGGCTGAGATCTGCCTCCGATGGGTACCACAGATGATGGAATAAATAGTTCCATTCCCTGTAGCACCACATCAGTGGCAGAGTCAGCAACAGCGTTGGGATCTTCCGGCGAGAAGCAAACCCGCCCCCAATAATATACCTACTGGTACAAATAATGTAGGAATGGCTCCTTTTAATAAAGTTGTATTTACTCTGCTTTTTCTTATATATTTCTCAATAAAATGTTTACTACAGAATTGTAGAGTTCTCCTTAGGATTCCAACCAACCCGCCCAATTAATGCCAACCATTTTTTTTTCTAACTAAAGGATCCAGAGGGAATCTGTTTGACAAACAGCAAAATAAAATTTTGTTTTTAGAACGCAAATCGAGCATTTAATTTCATTCTTCTTTTTGTTGTGTATAAAAGTCTATTGATTCTTTATACACATTAAAGATAAATATCGACATTAATTTTGATATAGTTGAGTCAATCCCTAGCGTAAATGTAAAATATTTTGTTAAAAAATTACTTAACCAAAATCATACAAATTATCAACAATGTGGCTTTTTTCTTTGCAAAATATCAAAATAAATAAAATAATTGAAAATATTACATATTTTATTACATATGTTATATGTTGTTTAAAACATATAACATAAATTTTAAGCAAAAATAGACGTGTCTTATTACTGACGACGTCTTGCAAATTTACCTGTGAAATGTGCAACCATCAGGATTACTTCCATTGTTGATACCACAGTCACTAACGGAACATGAAACCATTTTGGAAAACTATAAATTATACAAATTAACACTATTATAATCTAAAAACACACAAAATATTTACAAGCTTATTTCTTGCGCGCTGACTTGCGCCGACCTGTCATCCAAAATCGGTTACAGAGTCATGAGATTTGGTATCCTTTTCTATCTTGCACTTTTGCCATAAGGAATTTTCTTCTCCCTTGCACACTATGTTGGTCTATACGTATATCCTAAGTCTATGTAATGACCATATTTACTACAGGCTGGGCCAGAATAAAATTCACTTTTGAAACCCATATAAAAAAAGACTGATAATACTTAGAGAGTTTATTCAAAAAGTAACTTAATTTAACATTAATTTAATTTACTTCTTGAAAATAACATCGTCTAGGCTTCCCCGTCTCGCCGCAAACACTCTTCTAAGCGGGACTTTATTCAAAAACACGCCGGCACGTTGCTGTCGATATGGCCGCCATTTCTGCTCGAATGTTCGCTTTTAAGGCAGTAATTGTCCTCGGTTTATTGGAATAGACCTTATTCTTGAGAAATCACCACAAAAAGAAATCCGGTGGGGACAAGTCTGGGCTTCGTGGTGGCCACTCGATGTTACCTCTCTTTGAGATGACTTTACCAGGGAACAGCTCCTGTACGACCTCCATGCTGGCATTAGACGTGTGGCAGGTAGCCCCATCCTGCTGGAACCAGATCAGGGAGCTGTACTCTTGCAGCCCAGCAAGGCTTGGCCTTAAAAACTTTTAAAGCATTTCCACATAACGGTCTGTATTAACGGTTACTGCGTGACCCCTCGAGAATTTTCAAAGAAATAAGGCCCAATCAGCCCTTTGGCTGAAATGGCAGCCCAAACCGTCACTTTTTGGCAGTGGAGTGGCTTTTGATGCTTGCGCAAAGGCTGTTCAGCACTCCAGAAATGGCAATTCTGCTTGTTGACAAATCCGTTCAGGTGAAAGTGGGCTTCGTCCGAGAAAAGGATGTTCACGAAGTTGGAAAACCGCTCTAACATCAAGGTGGAAAATGACGCCCTTTTTGTATGGTCATCGTGGGAAAGTTCTTGCACCAACTGGATCTTATAAGGATGAAGCTTCAAATCTTGTCTCAAAATTCGTCTTAAGCTGCTTCGCGAAATCCCCAAAGTCGCTGAATGTCGTCGCGTAGAGAGTTCCGCATTTTCTTGGACAGATCGATTAACATCCTGAATCACTTGCTCCATGCGTAAAGTACGGGGGCGACCTTGACGTCTCATTGGTAGCGTCGAACCAGTTTCTCTTCAGCCATTGTTTTAGCAACTGAGTACTAGGACACTGCCGGATACTCCGTAAATTGAATTTAACTCTGAACATACGCCGCACAATAATGTAAGAATGACCATTTTCGTAAAACGCTTGAACCGCGAACGCGCGCTGTTCCCCCGTGAACTGACTCATGGCGACTAAAATTGTGTAAGACGCGTGACCCGATCACACCCCGCGCACCCCGCTACTTCCCACGTATGACGATCTATTTGCCAAAGAAAAGTGAACTTTATTCTGGCCCATCCTGTATAATGTCAACTGTCAAAATGGCGTCGATAAAACACAGCGACTTGACGAGCGAGTTGACTGATACAGAGCTATCGTATCAAAGAGCCATCTATGCAAACAAAACTGCAGTTTTTGAGTTCAAAGAAAGTGCTTTATAGTGTATTAACTGGATGACCATATTACCCTCACTTTTTTTTTCTCTCCTCACGTACGCTACTATTAAATTTATTACTACATGTTAGCGACCCGCCCCGCCTTCGCCTACATAGGATCTATTAATGTATCGTTATTTATATTTAAGACCGTTTATTTTATCAATTATTGTTATTTAAAAGAAATCTTCAAATTTTTGGGATAAAATACAGCCAAGATCCCTCCTGAAAATATTAGTTCTATCTGTTCGTAAATTTTCATCACATCGGTTCAGCTATTCCGAACATGTCTAACTAGCTTGCAAATAAGTTATATAAGGCAGTTATTTTAATATTACAGACAGACACTTCAATTTTATTTATACGTATAGATTATAGAAGAAACGTTTTAAAAATTTGATGCATTTTAGGGTAAAACATCAGAAGCACTGTCCAAGCTGCTGTCATTAAAACCAACAGAGGCACTGCTGGTAACAGTCGACGACGACGGCAATGAGATCTCTGAGAAGAACATTCCAGTCGATTTGGTCGAAAGAGGGGATATTCTCAAAGTAAGTTACAGTTTTTGCAAACTATTGCGTCAAATTAATTAATCTCTCACAGGATACCAGCGTAAATTAGCAGCGTCGTGTTGCTGTGTCTCGCATGGTGAGTGTAGAGAACCGGAGACCCTTTCTACTGGAAATGAGGCATTCCATCTTAATCCGCAAGGGTGACAATACATCGGTATTTTGATTCTTAATCGGTGATAGATGTAGATGTATATGGAACACAGCATCCACTTACCATCATCCTTGGTCTATTTATATATAGACAGAGTCTTTCTGAGTAAAGAAGTCCCTCAGCTGCGACTCCACAGTCTTCGTAAAATTCGACATTTTCTAATATAATTAATAGAATCAGGCGTTACTTTGCGGAAATCCATTATATAAAAGCTTTTAGAAAAATTTACTTCGCAAATATCCGCGTTATAAAATAAAATGATGTGTCTTACCTAGTATGAAGAGCACCTCCCGCCCTCCCTCAATTGCGTGCACTATCCCCGTCACCACTAATCCCAGCACCATTACTCCCAACACCACTAGCAGCTAGTCCCAACCACCACTACTCCCAACACCACTAGTAGCTAGTCCCAACCACCACTACTCTCAACACCACTAGTAGTGTAGGTAGTAAAATTTTCTAAAAGCTTTTTTTCGACATTTTCTGTCAAATTCCATATTTTTCCATTTTAGTTTGCATATTTTTCACAGGACTTCTTTATTGAAACAGACTGCCGAATCGTTGTATATCGGTAATTGTACTCGTATGCACCTATTAATACAGGATATAATGTTTTTAAACCACAATTAGTCAGTTGAATATAGATCGCATAGCACATCAAACAAGACGTTTGTTATGTTTACTAATTGTCTACGATCAAAAGTGAACCTTAAATTAATAAATACAGAACTTAGTTTAAACCTCAGACTAATTATAAACTACTTTTGTAATAAGATGGTATGATTATCTTTGGTTAGAATAATTATTGTTTTTTCCATATATTATTTATATTTAATTATTAAATTGCATAAATATTACAATTTTATTCATTCATAATTAATTTATTGTCTCAAATATGCGAAAAAATGTGTAGTCGTTCTATTTAGTTTTTGTTTTTCTTTTTTTTTTGAGTAGGTACTCCCTGGTGCCAAAATCCCAGTAGACGGCAAAGTTATATCCGGACAGAGCACGTGCGATGAGTCTCTCATCACTGGAGAATCTATGCCCGTGCCCAAGAATAAAGGTAAGTAAGTCTGCAGATACATTCGATTGTGACTTTAATTATTTTACTTTTTTAATAGGAAACCGGCTTGTTCGGGAGACTGGAAGTCGTTGAGTCTGCATGCAAGACGATTCGTAATGACTCTCGAAAACAGCACGTAGACGCAGCTCAGAAGGGAAATCGGTCTGTAGTTCTTCAAGAAAGCGTTGTCGCCTTTCTTCAAGAACAAGTCCACCGCACTTCTGCTCCACACCTCCGGTGTAGTGCCACCATGGATGACGAAATTAAAGAGTTTCTGAAGGACTTCAAGTACCGGTTTTCCACCCGCTTTCAGAAGCTCCGCTGTAATTCCATCCTCGCCTGGGGCCTTGCCGTTTTTAAGGTGCTGGAGAGCTATTTTAATCTTGTTCAGACTGACGTCCGAAATATCATCGGAATAGTGTCGGGTAAACTTGCAGTCAAAATCTCAGGTGTCCAGGAAACGACGCTGCCATACTCGGTTTTCAGTATCGACAGTTGGCTCTTTCTGGCATACAGATCTCTGGCAAAGACTTTGGAGCCCTGGTTCCGCTCGATTGCTTCTTCAATACGAGCTGTATTGAAATTGGGTAAGTCCCGCCGCATGCATTTGGAGATATATCTGTGCAGTTGCCTGTACGCTTTCAAATTTGCTGAAGACTGCAGCTTCATTTCCCGTCTAACAGCCATGAGATTAAGAGTGTGATCAGAGAGTTTTTGTGTTCTTCTGCGGCGGGTCTTGCAGAACTTAGCTCCGACCGCATGGACAGTTTCCACGAGCTTGTCATTTATATCGTCCACTGCATTGCAATCTTTTAGACACTGAAAACGGTTTTGTACCTCGAGCTGATAGGTTTCGGGAATTTGGATTAGAGCACGAGGGGGACGGAGTGTTGACTTTATTAGACGTGATCTCTCTAACTTAACGTTTAGGTTCAGTGTGCCTCTCACCATTCGGTGATCGCTGTTGGTTTTCACCCTCGCGATCACTGAGACATCACTGAACAGTTGTCGTCTGGTCGTCATAATGAAGTCAATCTCATTTTTTGTCGAACCGTCGGGGCCCAACCAGGTCCACTACCTGTGGGGCCGCTTCTGGAAGAAAGAGTTCATTATAAAGAGTCCCTCTTTCTCCATGAAGTCGGCCAGCTGCTGGCCCTTTGGGTTCCGTTGCCCTATTCCAAATTTCCCTACTTTTAGCTCACCGTTTTTTCTTGTGCCTAGTTTTGCGTTGAAGTCTCCCATTAACACCGTATAGTGGGTTTTGGAGGAATGCATCGGGATGTTTTGAGGTTGGTGCGTAAACCTGTATGACCTTCACCAAATACCGTTTGATGGTTCTGAGTATAAGGTACGCAACCCTCGTCAACACACTCTCAATCTTTACAACGTTGATAACGAGAGACTTGTGGACGACAAATCCGACACCTCCTTGGGGCAAATGGTCGCCTTCTCGGTGATAGAACAAGTTGCCGGATTCGAGGATTACCGTGTCCTCCCCCTCTCTTCGGACCTCAGATAATCCTATAATATTCCAGCGCAACTTGCATATCTCTTCTTCCAGCTCCAGGATCTTCATGTCAGTCCTCAGGGTGAGTGCGTTATATGTTGCCAGGTCGAGTCGTCTTAGGTAGCAACCGAACCTCCACCGGAGATTCTTAGCACCCCCTGCCCCGCCGTTACCATGGTCGCCACCGTAACCAGGAATAGCGAGGCCACCGGGGATTGAGGGCCGTCTCTTTGTAACTTTATTCAGGGGAAATATATTTCCATAATTGCCACGCTTGGTGAGCGTGTTGGCAACCGCAGTTTTTTATTGTTGTTTTGCTGTTATCAGAAAGATGCCGCTGCCCATCTTCTGCCTCAGTTTCCCTCTGTCGCCTCTTACGATACCCACGGGAAGATATGAGGTAGTGGGTATTCTTACCCGTCACGGGTATACGGCATTTAGTATACAAAATTATTTTTTTAGTTTAAAGTTATGAGTATTTGAAGTCCTTATAAATATCGAAAGTTAAACCACCGGTTAAAAATGTTGTACTTTTCTGTAGAAGAACCGACAGGAATTTTCGGCATTATTTATATAAATATAAAAATATTTGCATTTTACGTTTAAATTAATTTGATAATGGAATGATTTTTATTATAATACATTAGCTATAAATGCTTCTTTTTAAATGAGAAAAGAACAAGTTTTTATTATATCATGTTAATGTAAACGAATAATAGAAACGGACCAGGGATCGGCCTCTGAGGGATGCCCAACTGTTTAACATGAGACAATGTACCATAGCAAGATTTTAACACATCTCTAAATAACACAAAAAACTGTTGCCAAGCGTGGCAACTATGGCTAATATCTCCTCTATGATGCAAATTATGGGAGAGACCTATGTTCAGCAGTGCACTTTAATAGGCTGTTATGGTAACGGTAAGCAAGCTCAGTCATTCGGTGAGCCGGTGAGAGTGAATAAGTGGTGGCATGGTGGCAGGGTCGCTGGTGATCGGCGGCAGCGTGAACCAGCTGGGCGCGCTGGTGGTGCGCGCCACGCACACGGGCGAGGCCAGCACGCTGGCGCAGATCGTGCGCCTCGTGGAGGACGCGCAGGCCAGCAAGGCGCCCGTGCAGCGCCTCGCGGACGCCATCGCCGGGTACGCCCGCACTGCGCCTTACTGAACCACACTGCACCGCAAACGTCATACCGCACCGTACCACACCACACCACACCACACTGCGCCGCGCCGTACCGCACCCCACCGCACTATACCTTACTACATCGCACACTTCACACCACACCACGCTATACACATCACACCGGACCGTACCACATCACTCAAAGTCATGAAATTTATGTAAAAAAAAAGTATTAAATTTCAACTTACTTCAGTATATCATACCCTTTTGTAGCTTTTGAAAATGATTTTATCTTAAATATCCGCACTTGACCAACTTTTAGCCATAAAATGCGCACATGGCCACATGCGTCGCCTTGTAAGACTATACTTGATCTTACTTTTGTCTCTAAATTTGGCAGCAATCGTGTTCACCCGTGCAGAACCTCATTGAGCCAAACTATTGCACAAAGCAGCCATGCAGAGCCTTGCTTTTTTTTAAAATATTACTTCTAATACTACAGAGAACTAAAATAATGTGCCTTACTTGCCTGTAATAATTATACTACTTCTTTAAGTTCTTTAAAACTATACTAAAGTAACTAAAATAACTAATGATGCACTATACTTGACGACGAAAAAAAAATAAAACGAATATAATAATATATCACTTGTTTCGTTGTTGACTTACCACGCAATTGAACCAAACGGTTCGCTACGTCATTCATCATGTGTACAGCAAAGGAGTGAAATAACTTGCCAGCATCTGTCTTTCCATCCGATTACAGTGTGGGTGTCTTCAAAACAAGAGTGAATATGATTTTGTTAAGTCAGTGCACTTCACCATCTTAGGCTACATCACCACGTACCATCAGGTGGAATCGTAGATAAGCGCTGGCTTAGTAGATAATAAAAATAAAGTTGTTGAAGTTAAAGCCTACAATTAGCAAACTCTTGGTCATTAGGAACCACACTTAGCCGCATTCAGAACCGTACACAAGACAGTTAAATATGATATTTTTGGTAATTGAACATAGTAGGTATAACGTTACTTTTGTTTTTTCAACAGGTACTTTGTCCCAATGGTGGTATCCCTTTCGCTATTAACTCTGATATGCTGGACTATCAGTGGTGCATTGGACATCAACAGGATAAAAGCCATTACTCCAGTTAGTATGAGATAAAACAAATATAATGTTTGCTATTGATTAAAGAATAAAACTAGTTTTGTGTTCTTTTATACTTCATTTAAATATTCCGACGTTTGTACGTCTTATTGTCATAGTTAGATCCAGGCAGATTCATTCACTAATTTAGTCCAACCTACGCAGAAAGAGTTACAGTATCTTAGAGTGTTAGTCTGGACAACAAGTTGAAAAACGGTAAAAATAGACATTAAGCCTCTAAAATGTGAGCGATAGCTCATTGGATTCGAAATGACCTCTAGAAAAATGTATTCTAAAAGCTTATTAGCACGGAAAAAGTAGTAATTGTTATTAACGAAATAAGATGAAATAAAAAATGGTATCCCGTATTTTGTTAATAACTCAAAAAGTATTAATATTTAAGGACTTTTGAAAAAGATTCTTAAAGACGAGGATATTTTCAATAAAAAAGTCTCCACTCCTGCAACTCTATCTCCATTATTTATAATTTTAATTTAACGCTGAAAATAGTGCACCGCGACGCCTTTACGACCTATAGGTTTCGGCGTTAGTCAACCGTCGGTGGGTCACAACTGGGGTATCACACAGGTTGTCTCATGAAAACGCATGAATTTGTTATTGAATGGCAAGGCAGTGGCCGGTGGTTCGACTGATAAACTGATCGGCTGAAATCTTTTATTCACTATTAGTTATTACTATTTCTTAGTTACTTCCAAGATTTCTTCACGTGGGATGAACGTTCCGGCGAGTTTGCAGTCTATAGTATAGGGCCTACGTGCGCAATCCACCTATCTTCATATTCACAATTTAAGTTATCGCTCACTTGAATAGTTTGATTAGATGTCAATTGTTTTGCAATAGATAATTTCTTGCCGCGGTAAATACTCACTTTCATATAATCTTTGCGCACCACGTAAACTTTCATTGCTTAAAATGTAATATAGCACCATTTCATAGCTTCATGGCATCCGCGGTTCGAATATTTTTGTTACGTCATTAGTAATGAAGCGTACGTAAGGAGATCATGGTCAACACTGTCAGCTGTCGGCCGGGCAAGTGGACGTAGGCACTTAGCGGTGTAACGGTAAATAGAAAGGAAAGGAGTGGAGAAACGCGCGACAAGGCACCTTACCGAGCGACTCTTACGAATGTGTGCATGTGTAAAATAGTATGCGTTAGATATTTGTGAATGACAATCAGTTAAAATAATGCATTACCATCAATTAATATAAATGTTTGATATTTTTTTAACTAATTTTTCGTCACCATTTGCCAATATTACTTATTTTGAACCTTCTCTACAAATTTAGCCGCTTATTGCAAAATAACCCTGTATACACAACTAAGGTTTTTAAAGATATTCTATTGATATCATCAATTAGCTTAACACTGCACTTAAAATTTAGCGATTTATAAAGTTGTCTTGCATTGTCTGCAATGAATACCGTCACAAACACTGTTTTTCATTTAATCACTATATTGGTTTATAAGATCTAAAATACTATTTATCGTCGCGAAAATTATAATCTCTATATTGTTAATAAAAGCTTTACTATGTATCGTCGCGAACAAACTCCATAATATATCATCTTCAAACATATTTGAAATCATTTTATAGATTGTCATTCACTAAAATTTATCAAGTTAGTAGGGGAGGCCTCTATGTATAGCAGTGGTATGGTACCAAACGTCCATTACTGAAAATAGGTCTTCCCCATAGAATGCTTCATGTAACCTGCTGTTTCTTATAGCAAGATGCCGCGTTAGGCAGGTGGGTTGAAAACAGCAGTTTTTTATCTCATCTCCGGTTTCATTTCCCTTTGTCTTCGACACTCTTTTACGATACCAACGCAATGATATTGGATATTGGATTATCTTACGTCGCCACTTCACGTCATTGCAGTGTTTTTTCCTAAACTCTAAAAATCAATTTCTAAGCATGTGTGATATGTGAGAGACACAGGGAACATTTCGTAACATGGACGCAAAATCCAATTTTATCGTATGATGAAGTGATCTCGCTAGTCGGTGCGTTGCAGGAGATGTACCGCGAAGGCACGCGGTGGCAGCTGATCCTGCAGACGGCGTTCCACTTCGCGCTGAGCGTGCTGGCCATCGCGTGCCCGTGCGCGCTGGGGCTGGCCACGCCCACCGCAGTCATGGTGGCCACCGGCGTCGGCGCCAAGCTCGGCCTGCTCATCAAGGGCGCCGAGCCGCTGGAGAACGCGCACAAGGTACGTTCAACTTCCGCTTTACAATGGCCGCCCGGCCACAGTGGCTGTTTATTATTATGATTAGTGGCGGAGAATTTGTCGTAATTGCTACGTTAATCAAGCTACTTAAGCGATCACAGTATCAGATATTTTGCATCTTTAACGTATGTTGCCCGTCTAGGTATTACACATTTAGTATATACTTATGAAATATGGAAATAGAAACTTTTTTATTCAATATTGATCATTAATAATACTCATTAAAAGCCACTCTTATATTTAATTTACCACTAGTTCAGAAAATACCTCTGTTCTTGGAAGAGCTAGCAAGAAACCCATCGGGACATTTTTTTAAAATATTTATAATATATTGCAATAAAAGGTGGCCATGAGTAGCTGTTGATTTTCCCCTTTTTTTAACGAAGGCAAATTTTATTACCAAGTGCATTATGGAAGGCAAGCTGTTTGTGTCAAACTCCTACAAACTAAAACCTCAACCGCGTTCAGCGTCGATGAGCGGGATCAGTGCTCTCTTGGTCTAGCTCAGCAACATCTCGAGCTCACTGAAATGTTCAGCTGTCACCAGAGTAGTTACCTCATTTCTGTCCAACACAAACCCAACCTTAGAAGTAAAGGCATATATTCTTACCAGTAAATATTATCACCGGTTCGTAACTCACCATACGAAACACAAGTGTATGCACTGCTATTTCACACTTATGTTCTATCTAATCCTTTCCCGGTTGAGCCGACCCGTTTGTGTATAAACGGCTCCGTGGCGCAGTGGCTTGAGCAACGAGTTGTTGCGCTGCGGGCCGTGGGTTCGAATCCCGCACGGATCAAGTATTTGTATGGCCTACAAATAATTGTTCAGGGTTTTATATGTTTTTAAAGTAGGTACCTCCACGATACAGGAGAAAATCTTAGTGTAGGGTAATGTTTTTTGAAAAAAATAGAAAATATCAAACAATAAAATAAATAAAGATGGTTGGATTAGAATACAATATTTTTATTCAATATAGATTATTGCATTACACTTACTGATAGTAATTTTTTTCTTTAACACTGCTTCGGAAAACATCTATCCTGGGAAGAACCAACGAGAAACCCAGCTGGCTTATTTATTTGAGATATATCCAACTTTACAACAATTTTGTACAATTTTGTATGAATTATAATAGAACCAGCATTATGCGTTTAGTTACCATGCTTTCATTAATATATGCCTTAATATCTATTAACTATTTTTGTTCAGATTTCTTTAATAAAACTTTTAAACTTATTGATTGACAGACTAAACATTTTTTGGGAATTTTTTTTCATTAACTTCTTTACTCTTATTAAAACTATTCATATTATAATTTTTAATGAGTTAAATGACCTTGTCCCCGTAGGTTAAAACTGTGATATTCGACAAGACGGGCACAATAACGCAGGGCAAAACGAGCGTGGCGAGAGTTTCACTGCTAACAGGCGATGCCAATAGCCTCCCCGACATCCTGGCCTGCCTGCATACCGCCGAGCTCAACTCTGAACATCCAGTCGCTTCAGGTACCTTCTAATTAGTGATATATTAAGTTGTGATGTGAATATGTCTTAAAATTTGCTTCCGTACTTGGAGGGGAGAAAACCGATGACTACATAATAATTTAAAAGTAAACATTTTGTACAACCGACTTCAATATAAATTATTAAGAATAACTCAAAAACTATTAGTCAGACCTTGATCAATGATTTATATGGAACCACATAATCATCGAAATCGGTTCACCCAGAAAATAATTGTGAGGTAACACACATAAAAAACATATAGTAGAATTAAGTACCTTCACCTGTTTAAAGTCGTTAGAAAATCGGGGGATACAGTTTGGTGTAGCTACATATTTATCATCCACAACCAAATTGAATTACATCACTCGGTAGCTAAAGGATCAAAGTTACGTTGATCACAAAAAATCACGTTGAGTATGGACTGTGACGCATCTCCGCCATTTTGAAGTCGTTTCGTTACATACACGTGTTCACGTGAAACACATGGCTGTGTACATCACACAGCGACATCCTCATTTTGTTTTATAGAAGAGGGGATAAACGTGAACAATACTTAATGACCTAACCAATTCACTATATGCTGAATTGTTCAAAAAGTACCTGTGAGATAGCTTAATTATGTACTGGACTGTACACAAAAAGTCATTAGTATAGAAGTTATCGAAATCATATAGTGTACCTAATTCTAGTGTATATAATTCCGATAACTTCTATACTAAGTCAAGGTTATTTTTGTCATAAATGTTCAAGTAGTGTGTGATGCAGTTCTTAATATACGGGATAGCATAGCATGGGTTAGTACATACGTACAATATTCAATTATTCACACTTGTGTACAGATTTTGAAATTGGACGATGTGTGGGTGCATATACAAAATATTTTTTACTGACTGTATTTCTGCACCTTACAACAACAGCAGAAGAGGCTTATAACAGAAGCCGAATCATCAAAACTCTCGTGGAGAGATGTTTTTGTGCTTAAAGCTTATGTTTGGAAATAGGGATTACTTTAAACAAAACGTCAACTGTGCTTCAGACTACCGTAGCAATATTAATAGAATCAGACGTTGCTTTGTGGAAATCCATTTTAGTAAAAATGTTAGAAATTAATTGGTTTAAGAGATGGGCAGCAGTATCTTCATAACGTTACAAAATTGGTGTTGCCGACTCACCTGTCAAGCGTGATAATTTAATCAGATATTTTCTATTGGAAGGCAATCTAAAGCGGAGATGTATGTTCGGCAGTGGACTTTATTGCTATATAGGCTGTAATGAATGAATAAATTGTAGTTGCTGTCTTTCTTTATAAGTTTTGTTATTAAGTAAAGTTTGATTTTTCGAGCTAAAAATATAGATAGATAGATAGATAGAAAATTCTTTATTGCACTCAAACAAACAAACATTTGGTACAAAGGCGAACTTAATGCCAATAAGGCATTCTCTGCCAGCTAACCTTTGGTAGTGTGGTGAGAGTTATGGGTAGAGCCGCAACAGAGGGAAAAAAACTAACTTACTTTAAAAACTAACTTCACATATTATTCAATAATATAATATTATATAAATATGTTACTTTATATATATTGACACTTCATACACACACATATATACATATATATAAATGTATATATACATATAAACAAAAATACATACTATACAAATAAAATACATACAATCTAGTATAAGAAAATATAATATTATATAAACCAATAATATTAATCAAGTAATTTTAAATAATGTGCCTCAACCTTACGTTTAAATGTATTTATTGAGGGAGCATCTTTTATATCTCGTGGAAGGTTATTCCAAAGTGTAATTGATGATACCGTAAAGGAATCTGAGTAGTATGTAGATTTATGCAACGGGATAGTTAGAGTTTTATTGGACATCGAACGGGATAAGCTTAAGTATGAAAAACGCTCTTTCAGATAAGCTGGGGAACAAGGATTGTAAAGAATACCATACAAAGTGGTTAGAAGGTGTGTGTTCCGGCGAAAACGGATGTCGAGCCACTTAACTCTTGAGCGAGATTGTGATATATGATCAAACTTGCGCAGGCCAAAAATATAGCGTATGCACAAATTGAGCAGACGGTCGAGTTTGCTAAGCAGTTCCTCAGTTATATCTGGATAAGCAATTTCAGCATAATCTAAAATAGGAAGCAACAGAGTGTTGACTAACGTAACCTTGGCCGTCTGAGGGATAAACTTTTGCCAGAGCTTTAATGAATGCATTGTGCTAAAAATTCGTTTCCGGACCTCACTAACTTGTGACACCCAGCTTAGGTCGTGAGCCAAAATTAAGCCGAGGTTTTTAACCTGCCTAGCATATTCTAAATCAACACCGGTTAGAATAACCTTAGGCAGATGTTGATAGTCGAGTCGGCATGTAATTTTTCTGCTGCCTATGATTATAACCTGTGTTTTGGCAGGATTTAATATTAGTCCATGACAGCTTGCCCACTGATGAACTGCAGCAAGATCCAAATTCATTTTGTCAACAGATGCATTTAGGTCATTTACACTAAAATGCTGATACAGCTGGACATCATCTGCGTACAGGTGATACTTGCTGAAATTTATTACGGAAACAAGTGCCCTGATAAACACAGAAAAAAGCAACGGAGATAAAAGACCGCCTTGAGGAACACTAGCAACAACGTTACACCAGTCGGCGAACTTATCATCAACACGAATGCGTTGCCGGCGTCCCCGAAGATAGGAACTGAACCATTGTACAACTGATGATGTTAAATTCAGGGATTTTAGAACTGCTAACAGAATGTCGTGGTCAACACAATTAAACGCGTTACTGAAGTCTAGGAGGACAAGAAGAGTAAGTTGACGATTATCCATCGCAAAGCGGATATCATCAGTTATTTTAATTAAGGCCGTGGAAGGACTGTGCAGTGGACGGAAACCAGACTGAAAAGGATTGAAGAGGTTGTTTTTGTTTAGAAATTTTGTGAGTTGGTAATGAACAACCTTTTCAAGAATTTTAGAGAAGGAGAGGATAGATATTGGCCTATAATGGTTGAAATTAGTAGGAGAGTTGTTTTTGGGGATAGGAATTAGGAACGCTTCTTTCCACTTGGTAGGGAAGGTACTGGAGGCAAAGGAAAAATTTATTAGATGAGTGACATGGGAAACTATTTGGTCCAAAATCGGCAAAACCATATCGCGTCCAATACCATCTGGGCCAACAGCTTTGCTGGATATAACGGATACAATATTTTTTACTTCATCATCAGTCACTGGTTCGAAACAGAAAGGAGTCCAACATGGTAAAAGGAAAGAAGTAATATCTTTAATGGTATCGCTTTTGACTGTTGAGTCCAATGTAACTGGCGAAGAGCTAAAGTGTTTATTCAGCGCTGATAAGTCAAGGGAGTGACTAACATTCTGATTCCTTTTACCAAAGCCCAGGCTGCGCAAGAACTTCCATATATTCTGGGTTGAGCAAGTCTGAATAGTATTGTGAATGTATCGGCGTTTCGCATTTCGTATCACCTGGTTGCAGCGATTCCGTGCTTTTTTAAATCTTTCCCATTTCTCATCACTGGGCAAGCATTTATGTTTTCTTTTTAGGCGGTCTCTACGTGCCATAAGAGATATATATGGCGTTAACCAGGGTGCTGGTGCCCGTTTCATTTTTACTGGTCTTAAAGGCGCTACTTTGTCATAGGATGTCATTATAATGTTATTGAATAACTCCAGTTTATTGTCAATATGATTAGTGTTATAAAAGTCTGACCAATTAGCAATGCATATCTCATAATTTAATAGCTGGCGATTCATACGGACAAGGTTGCGCTGAAACACAATTTTGGGAGATGACTTAGTTGATTTAAGAGCATATGATGCGAAAATAAGATCGTGATGTGAAAATCCAGGAGCCACCAGTTGGCCATGTAGAGATATACGATCAGGATTGGAAGTAAGGATCAAATCTAGTAAAGAGTGTATATATAGTGTTACATAAAAGTCGTAGGGCGTATTGTGTGGTTGACGTAGTTTGTAGAGACGTGTGCGATACGTGCAGCGATCGTGCGGTGGTGCAGCGTGGGGCTGGGCGGGGGCGGGGGCGGCGGCGCGGGCGGCGAGGTGCGCGCGGGCTCGTGCGTGGGCTTCGCGGCCGTGCCGGGCTGCGGCCTGCGCGCGCGCGTGCGGCTTCGCCCCGACCTCACCACCCCAACGCACTTGCGTGACGCCATTAACGCCTCCAAGTACGTACCCTACAACGAACACGTTCACATCCCACGGCGGGGTGCGCGCGGGCTCGTGCGTGGGCTTCGCGGCCGTGCCGGGCTGCGGCCTGCGCGCGCGCGTGCGGCTTCGCCCCGACCTCACCACCCCAACGCACTTGCGTGACGCCATTAACGCCTCCAAGTACGTACCCTACAACGAACACGTTCACATCCCACGGCGGGGTGCGCGCGGGCTCGTGCGTGGGCTTCGCGGCCGTGCCGGGCTGCGGCCTGCGCGCGCGCGTGCGGCTTCGCCCCGACCTCACCACCCCAACGCACTTGCGTGACGCCATTAACGCCTCCAAGTACGTACCCTACAACGAACACGTTCACATCCCACGGCGGGGTGCGCGCGGGCTCGTGCGTGGGCTTCGCGGCCGTGCCGGGCTGCGGCCTGCGCGCGCGCGTGCGGCTTCGCCCCGACCTCACCACCCCAACGCACTTGCGTGACGCCATTAACGCCTCCAAGTACGTACCCTACAACGAACACGTTCACATCCCACGGCGGGGTGCGCGCGGGCTCGTGCGTGGGCTTCGCGGCCGTGCCGGGCTGCGGCCTGCGCGCGCGCGTGCGGCTTCGCCCCGACCTCACCACCCCAACGCACTTGCGTGACGCCATTAACGCCTCCAAGTACGTACCCTACAACGAACACGTTCACATCCCACGGCGGGGTGCGCGCGGGCTCGTGCGTGGGCTTCGCGGCCGTGCCGGGCTGCGGCCTGCGCGCGCGCGTGCGGCTTCGCCCCGACCTCACCACCCCAACGCACTTGCGTGACGCCATTAACGCCTCCAAGTACGTACCCTACAACGAACACGTTCACATCCCACGGCGGGGTGCGCGCGGGCTCGTGCGTGGGCTTCGCGGCCGTGCCGGGCTGCGGCCTGCGCGCGCGCGTGCGGCTTCGCCCCGACCTCACCACCCCAACGCACTTGCGTGACGCCATTAACGCCTCCAAGTACGTACCCTACAACGAACACGTTCACATCCCACGGCGGGGTGCGCGCGGGCTCGTGCGTGGGCTTCGCGGCCGTGCCGGGCTGCGGCCTGCGCGCGCGCGTGCGGCTTCGCCCCGACCTCACCACCCCAACGCACTTGCGTGACGCCATTAACGCCTCCAAGTACGTACCCTACAACGAACACGTTCACATCCCACGGCGGGGTGCGCGCGGGCTCGTGCGTGGGCTTCGCGGCCGTGCCGGGCTGCGGCCTGCGCGCGCGCGTGCGGCTTCGCCCCGACCTCACCACCCCAACGCACTTGCGTGACGCCATTAACGCCTCCAAGTACGTACCCTACAACGAACACGTTCACATCCCACGGCGGGGTGCGCGCGGGCTCGTGCGTGGGCTTCGCGGCCGTGCCGGGCTGCGGCCTGCGCGCGCGCGTGCGGCTTCGCCCCGACCTCACCACCCCAACGCACTTGCGTGACGCCATTAACGCCTCCAAGTACGTACCCTACAACGAACACGTTCACATCCCACGGCGGGGTGCGCGCGGGCTCGTGCGTGGGCTTCGCGGCCGTGCCGGGCTGCGGCCTGCGCGCGCGCGTGCGGCTTCGCCCCGACCTCACCACCCCAACGCACTTGCGTGACGCCATTAACGCCTCCAAGTACGTACCCTACAACGAACACGTTCACATCCCACGGCGGGGTGCGCGCGGGCTCGTGCGTGGGCTTCGCGGCCGTGCCGGGCTGCGGCCTGCGCGCGCGCGTGCGGCTTCGCCCCGACCTCACCACCCCAACGCACTTGCGTGACGCCATTAACGCCTCCAAGTACGTACCCTACAACGAACACGTTCACATCCCACGGCGGGGTGCGCGCGGGCTCGTGCGTGGGCTTCGCGGCCGTGCCGGGCTGCGGCCTGCGCGCGCGCGTGCGGCTTCGCCCCGACCTCACCACCCCAACGCACTTGCGTGACGCCATTAACGCCTCCAAGTACGTACCCTACAACGAACACGTTCACATCCCACGGCGGGGTGCGCGCGGGCTCGTGCGTGGGCTTCGCGGCCGTGCCGGGCTGCGGCCTGCGCGCGCGCGTGCGGCTTCGCCCCGACCTCACCACCCCAACGCACTTGCGTGACGCCATTAACGCCTCCAAGTACGTACCCTACAACGAACACGTTCACATCCCACGGCGGGGTGCGCGCGGGCTCGTGCGTGGGCTTCGCGGCCGTGCCGGGCTGCGGCCTGCGCGCGCGCGTGCGGCTTCGCCCCGACCTCACCACCCCAACGCACTTGCGTGACGCCATTAACGCCTCCAAGTACGTACCCTACAACGAACACGTTCACATCCCACGGCGGGGTGCGCGCGGGCTCGTGCGTGGGCTTCGCGGCCGTGCCGGGCTGCGGCCTGCGCGCGCGCGTGCGGCTTCGCCCCGACCTCACCACCCCAACGCACTTGCGTGACGCCATTAACGCCTCCAAGTACGTACCCTACAACGAACACGTTCACATCCCACGGCGGGGTGCGCGCGGGCTCGTGCGTGGGCTTCGCGGCCGTGCCGGGCTGCGGCCTGCGCGCGCGCGTGCGGCTTCGCCCCGACCTCACCACCCCAACGCACTTGCGTGACGCCATTAACGCCTCCAAGTACGTACCCTACAACGAACACGTTCACATCCCACGGCGGGGTGCGCGCGGGCTCGTGCGTGGGCTTCGCGGCCGTGCCGGGCTGCGGCCTGCGCGCGCGCGTGCGGCTTCGCCCCGACCTCACCACCCCAACGCACTTGCGTGACGCCATTAACGCCTCCAAGTACGTACCCTACAACGAACACGTTCACATCCCACGGCGGGGTGCGCGCGGGCTCGTGCGTGGGCTTCGCGGCCGTGCCGGGCTGCGGCCTGCGCGCGCGCGTGCGGCTTCGCCCCGACCTCACCACCCCAACGCACTTGCGTGACGCCATTAACGCCTCCAAGTACGTACCCTACAACGAACACGTTCACATCCCACGGCGGGGTGCGCGCGGGCTCGTGCGTGGGCTTCGCGGCCGTGCCGGGCTGCGGCCTGCGCGCGCGCGTGCGGCTTCGCCCCGACCTCACCACCCCAACGCACTTGCGTGACGCCATTAACGCCTCCAAGTACGTACCCTACAACGAACACGTTCACATCCCACGGCGGGGTGCGCGCGGGCTCGTGCGTGGGCTTCGCGGCCGTGCCGGGCTGCGGCCTGCGCGCGCGCGTGCGGCTTCGCCCCGACCTCACCACCCCAACGCACTTGCGTGACGCCATTAACGCCTCCAAGTACGTACCCTACAACGAACACGTTCACATCCCACAACTCTACACTTTAATCGATCTTTAATAACAATTAAGTTGATATTTACAAATGCTTTGTAACACCTGTTACTTGATTTAATGTTTTTAGGTTTTACTATCAAGAAATTATCTGTAGCACATGATCATATTCTTATAATCTATATTGATTATTAAACATAGATACATAATATTAAGAATGGAATGGATACGATGGATAAGAACAAAACATTGTTCTATTCTTTTCCATTCTATTTTATATTTTACACTGGAACAGCGCGGTGGACGTATCAGTCCATAACAAAATTAAAAATGAAAAGAGGCCTGTACCCAGCCGTAAACACGACAGCATACATTGTCTGTATATGTATAAACCAGGGAGGCACATGAATGCTGTTATCCAACCTCACCATAAAATTTCATGTATTGACCTTTTTAGTGACAAAACAAATGAGACAATTTTTTTTAATTTTCTACCTTATATAACTTTGAATAAAGAACTGTAAAGTAAAAATTAATAAATGATCCCTCAACTAAACTTTAAAAGATTTGCTAGCATTTTTAAAACCAAAAGGCTTAATAAAAATCTAATAAAACAGTTTTGTTAATGGAGGTTTTAAGGTTGTTCGTAGTTACTACGAGCAGATGTAAGTTATTTTTTAAATAATATATCAAGAACACCCTGTCCGATCCGAAAGGAAAATAAAAGGAAAGCACACAAAAAATCATAATATTAATAAATGTAACAATGTTATTATTATTCTTAATTAAAAACACGTTTTTTACTACATTTTTCTTGAAAATTTTAAAAATATTGCTACACCGTTTTTGGCAATGATATCTTTGAATCTATGCCGATAATTTTACCCTACATTCCACACCGTATTTATTTCCATTTAAAATTAAGTTTCCCCATTTAGCTAAATTTTATTCTAATTGTTGCGAAATATTTTTTAATTATTCTCCGAAAAGAATTACATGAATAGAATCATGTCAATATACCTAAAAACACCGTAATAGATCGAATAGAGTTTAGTTTTTTTACATATTGTAAAGTTAAGTGTGGCTTACGAATATTCAGGTCACTTGGCGGTAAATAGATGCTGTTTTAGATACCTACGTCTATTAAGAATCCAAATGTCATTATCACTCACACCAAATGTCAGATGCATTATCACCATTCCGGACTAAGATGGAAAGGATCTCCGGTTCTTAACACTCAGTATACGAAATATAGCAGTTATGCTGCTATTTTGTTTTGATATTACTCCTTACGGGTAATTCAGAACGAAAGCTGTGTCTGTGTAAATGTGCCACGCACACAAATACGAAATAAAGTTACATACTTAAATGTATGCGTGTGCGTTTGCGAGTGAGTGCGTATGCGTGTGTGTGTGGGTGTGTGCGTGTGCGTGTGTGGATGCCTTACCGTAGTTCTCATCTAGAAGTATTTGTTCTCCGTCCCATTCGTGGCGCAACTATCTTCAACACGTATCAATGCATGGCTTGTGCAGGGCGGGCGCGGCGCTGGTGGTGGGCGGCGTGCCGGTGGAGCTGGTGGAGGCGCAGGGCGACGCCGCGCTCAGCTCCGCGCAGGCCGCCGCGCGCCTGCAAGCACTCATTCTGCCGCCCGCCCAACACCAGGTGAGGCCGCCATACTTCATTGTCTTTTCACACACACCTACCATACCCTTACATACGCCACACCCTTACACTTATCACATCCTTACACTCTTCACACCTTTACAGCCATTACATGTTTACACCTATTACTTACACCCATCACATCCTCACACATGCTCACATACTTAGATCTACTACATTATCACACCCTTACTCGCGTTGACCTTTATTTACATCCATCACAGACGCTTGCACCTAACACACCCTCACAATCTTACTCCCATGACACCTGTACATACTCACAACAATCACACTCTTATGCCCATCACATCCTAACACCCAGCATACAAGGGTGTGCTGGTGAATGTTTTAGGTCGAAAAAAGTGTAAAGTAACACTTTAACACTATTCAACTTCATAATAGCATTTGTATTCCTAAATCTGATTTTACTTTACACTTAAAGAACAAACTCGCAATAAATTCCGTTTTTGGTTACGGTCAAATGGTTTTTACAGGCATATATAGATAATATAGAATTGAAACTCACTTCAAACAAAAAAATACTGCACCACTGGACTAAAATAGACCGTCTCACAATGTACATCTACACTGTTTATATGTATACACTCCATACAGGAAAAGTGAGTACGGGGTTGGTTAGCGGCAGAAATAAGCTGTCCACTACCTAGTTATATCATCTAGTTTTATATGAAATGTACGTCCTTTTTTATTTTACTATGGTGGTCACTCACATATCCACAAATGTTAGAAGATATATTGCACATGACTGCACAGTTTAGACAACATTTGCTCATATGCCGGTCTATGTCCGTTTTTAAATGCACATGAAAGGGCGTATGTATTTACACGTGTACAATCTATACTAGACAGTAGGACACCTATTGGTTTGGAGTCCAAAGGTCCTATTTCTGCCGTCAAATAGCATTGCTGTGTTTCAGTCTGAACTGTTGTTAGGTTATAGAGAGTCATTATAATTACAGATTGTGTGATATCCATCTTAGTACTCAAGGGTGAAAACTCATCTGTAGCTTTTTTTGTATGAAGTTGACTGTAGGTATTGTTGCGCGCCACTATTAATGTCTTGTACATGGCAACACTAGTTACACTAACGCCCTCTAGTGTCGAGTAAAAGAAAGTGTTGCGCGCCACTATTAATGTTTTGTACATGGCAACACTAGTTACACTAGCGCCCTCTAGTGTCGAGTAACAGAACTAGGAGAGTCGAGATTCTTCCAGAAATTTCTGGACCGATATGTACTCAAACATTCTAGATGTCGCTACAGTAGAAGGTTCTGGAAACTATCTGAGGCCCTATATAAGGCCGGTATAGACCACGACCGGGGCAGTATTGAATTGGCGATACAAGAGAATACTTCGAAGCGAAATAACGGTGAACTGTGTTTTATTATTAGTGTGATTTTAGATTGTAATTAGTGTTGTGTAATTAAAGTGTCAATTTTGGTAATTCATTCGGCAGTTTTTAATTGTCTCGAACCCCAAGCTCGTAACAATTGGTGTCAGAAGTGGGATCAAATATGCCGATTTTACCTAAAGACGACACGGAGGGTATCCGTACCCGAAGTCAACGCCAACAGGAGACAGACCAGAGACGATTTGGTAATGCAACGCCGCAAAGGTCGGAGGGCCAGCTACTAACCACGGAGGCCGGCCCGTCAGCAGCGCCTGTATCTGCAGCACCTGACTTAGGTGCTCTGATGATGATGCTGCAGGTTCAGGCTCGCCGACAGGAGGGACAGGCCTGCCGACAGGAGGAACAGACCCGTCGGTTGTAAGAGCAGCTGTAGCGCGGTATGGAAGAACAAATGCTCCTCAGGAAGGACTTTAACGCTACCTTCGGGTAAAAGATAAAGGAGGTGAAGGATAGGGTTGCTCAACATGGCAACCGCCTGTCGGAAGCTGAATCCCGAATCGACCAAGTGAACAATCGGGTTGACAACGTGATGGCTGATGTGAAGAAAACGCTGGACGACCTCAAACTTGGGGATGGAATTACAGCTCCCGTGGTAGCTACAACACCTTAGCTACGTGGATTCAAAGTGCCGCCGTTCGACGGGATTTCTTCCTGGTCGGCCTACAAAATCCAGTTCGAGGCTGTCATGAAAGCGAACGGCTGGAATAAAAGTTAGGCCATGACTGCTCTCAGCCTAGGCCTACGTGATCGATCTCGAGAGGGTAGTGTGGCTAACAGCACCGCCCAGCAGCAGCAGGGAAACTGGCGGGTGCTGGCTGATGTTAAAAGAGCCCAAGGATTTCGACCCTCAAACCCGTGATGGGAACAGCCTGATCATCAAGGGCGAGGTCAACGGAACACCGTGTAAACTGACCATAGACACTGGAGCCTCTCGCACGGTTGTCAGTTCACAACTTATAAGTCAGTTCCTTAGGGACTCCGCATACAACCGCGAACGCATTAATTTGGTGACAGCCACCGGTCAGCGCATACCCGTTCGTGGAGAGAAGGAGATGGAGTTGAAGCTAGGCAACATGATCTACCTGCATAATGTCATCGTAGCTGATATAATGGACGACTGCATCCTGGGCCTAGACTTTATGAGGAAGAATTGTTGTGAAATCGACGTTAAGCAAGGTGTTTTGAAATGTGGACAAGAGGAACTTTTCGTGGAAGGGGCGTTACCAGGGAATGTGTACAGCCTTAAGAAGATTGTTTTTCCGCCGAGATCGGAAACGATTGTGCCGGTTAGTCTTCCTCGGAGTCTTGGGCAAGCTCATCGTTATATACTCGTGGAAAGGGTAGACATTGAACTTCCATGGAAAGTGGCTCGAACCTTGGTCAGAACCACCGACATCTCAGGAGTACGTGTGTTGAACCTTTATGATCAGGAACAGATTAGAAAAGGCACATTGGTTGGTACTAGTGAGGAAGTGGATTGGTTGCGTCGGTGCAAATATCTATCGACTGGGACCCCCAGCAAGGATGGACAAACGAGAGCGACCACACTTTTAGAAGCCTGTCGCAGCGTTCTCTCCCCGAATGAAATGGTCAAGGCGAAGAAGTTGTTACTCAAGTACGTCAATGTTTTCTCATCAAACGAAGCTAACATAGGAAAGACTGGCTTAGTTCAACACAAAATAAACACAGGAGAAGAATTGCCTATTCGTCAGCGGCCAAGGAGATTGCCTGTAGCACGTGAAAAGGAAGTGCAAAATATGATTGAGGGAATGGTGAAGGATGGTGTTATTGAACCTTCATCTAGTCCATGGTGTTCACCTGTGGTGCTGGTAAAGAAGAAGGACGGCAGCATGCGGTTTTGTGTTGACTACCGCCGCCTGAACGACGTTACGAAGAAGGACAGCTATCCCTTGCCAAGAATTGATGACACGCTGGACATGCTTACAGGCGTAAAGTGGTTTAGTACACTGGACCTGAAAAGTGACTACTGGCAGGTTGAAATTGACCCTAAGGACAAGGAGAAAACTGCATTCTCCACAGGAAAGGGTCTGTGACAATTTAAAGTCATGCCGTTTGGATTGTGCAATGCTCCAGCAACGTTTGAAAGGTTGATGGAGCTTGTACTTACCGGGCTAATTGGAGATGCCTGTCTGGTCTATTTGGATGACATCATCATCGTAGGCCGTACGTTTGAGGAACACCTTCAAAACCTGGAACGCGTGCTCATGAAGATCCAGAGTGCCAACCTCAAGTTGAGTCCGAAGAAGTGCTCACTATTCAAACGGCAAGTTAATTTTTTGAGGTATGTAGTGTCGGAAGAAGGTATCCGCACGGATCCAGAGAAAATTGCTGCTGTCAAGGAGTGGCCGGTTCCAAAAGACAAGACACAGGTTACAGCATTTTTGGGTTTGTGCTCTTATTATCGGCAATTTGTGAAGAACTTTGCAGATATAGCCAAACCTCTGCACAAGCTAACCGAGGAGAAGCGACATTTCTGCTGGGATGAAAGTTGCGATATGGCATTCCAGGAGCTCAAGAACCGTCTGTGCAAAACACCTATTTTGGGGAACCCTGATGCGGGCAAGGAATTCATAGTTGACACAGACGCAAGTGATATAGGACTTGGCGGTGTGTTGTCTCAACGGAATGGTGATCAAGAGATTGTGATAGCGTACTTCAGCAAGTCGTTGTCAAAGCCGGAAAGGAACTATTGTGTCACAAGACGGGAATTGCTTGCTGTGGTAAAGTCCTTGCAGCAATTTAGCAAATATCTTCTAGGGCGGAAATTCCACTTACGAACTGACCATGCTGCACTGAAATGGCTATTGCAATTCAAAAATCCGGAAGGACAAGTTGCGAGATGGATTGAACTACTGCAGGAATACGACTTTGTGATCGAACATCGCAGCGGGACATCTCATGGCAATGCAGATGCATTGTCAAGAAGACCTTGCCCTGAAGATTGCAAGCATTGTACTAGGCAAGAGTGTAAGGAAGTGGTATCTGTGAGAATGCTCAGGACAGACCAGCTCAGCAATGAGTGGAAGGACAGTCTACAGCATGTACAGCAGGAAGATTCGGACATTAAGCCGATTCTGGAATGGATGAAGGCCAGTGCTCCTAAGCCCAAGTGGAGCGATGTCTCAGCAAATGATGTGCCTTAAATGGGAAAATGGTCGGGGAGACAGTTGTCATTTGCAAATGGTTGTCCCTAAGGCTAAAGTACCGGATGTTCTACAGCTGTACCATAGTGGTTGTTCAGGAGGCCACCTGGAAGTTAAACGAACTCTACTGAAGATCCGAGAACGGTTTTTTTGGGTCCACTGTCGTGACGATGTCGAGGACTGGTGCCGCAAATGTACAAGTTGTGCGGCTGTAAAGGGACCTCAAATTCTTAGTAGAAGCGCATTGAAATTGTACAATGTTGGTGCACCATGGGAGAGGATAGCCATTGACGTTGCGGGGTCGTTTCCGGAAAGTGAAAGTGGTAACAAGTATTTCATGGTTATGATGGATTACTTTACTAAGTGGCCAGAAGTCTTCGCCATTCCAAATCAAGAAGCTTCAACAGTTGCAGATAAACTAGTTCATGAAGTCTTCTGTCGTTTTGGAGTACCCTTAGAGATTCACAGCGATCAAGGAAGGAATTTCGAGTCTCAAATATTCCAGGAAACTTGCAGAGTTATGGGTACTCATAAAACACGAACAACTTCTTACCACCCACAATCTGATGGAATGGTAGAACGATTTAACCAGACATTAGGAGCACTGGCCTTCATCCATTCCAGAATCGGCTTAATGTCCGAATCTTCCTGCTGTGCATGCTGTAGGCTGTCCTTCCACTCATTGCTGAGCTGGTCTGTCCTGAGCATTCTCACAGATACCACTTCCTTACCCTCTTGCCTAGTACAATGCTTGCAATCTTCAGGGCAAGGTCTTCTTGACAATGCATCTGCATTGCCATGAGATGTCCCGCTGCGATGTTCTATCACAAAGTCGTATTCCTACAGTAGTTCAATCCATCTCGCAACTTGTCCTTCCGGATTTTTGAATTGCAATAGCCATTTCAGTGCAGCATGGTCAGTTCGTAAGTGGAATTTCCGTCCTAGAAGATATTTGCTAAAATGCTGCAAGGATTTTACCACAGCAAGCAATTCCCGTCTTGTGACACAATAGTTCCTTTCCGGCTTTGACAACGACTTGCTGAAGTACGCTATCACAATCTCTTGATCACCATTCCGTTGAGACCACACCGCCAAGTCCTATATCACTTGCGTCTGTGTCAACTATGAATTCCTTGCCCGCATCAGGGTACCCCAAAATAGGTGTTTTGCACAGACGGTTCTTGAGCTCCTGGAATGCCATATCGCAACTTTCATTCATCGGTTAGCTTGTGCAGAGGTTTGGCTATATCTGCAAAGTTCTTCACAAATCGCCGATAATAAGAGCACAAACCCAAAAATGCTCTAACCTGTGTCTTGTCTTTTGGGACCGGCCACTCCTTGACAGCAGCAATTTTCTCTGGATCCGTGCGGATACCTTCTTCCGACACTACATACCCCAAAAATCTAACTTGCCGTTTGAATAGTGAGCACTTCTTTGGACTCAACTTGAGGTTGGCACTCTGGATCTTCATGAGCACGCGTTCCAGGTTTTGAAGGTGTTCCTCAAACGTACGGCCTACGATGATGATGTCATCCAAATAGACCAGACAGGCATCTCCAATTAGCCCGGTAAGTACAAGCTCCATCAACCTTTCAAACGTTGCTGGAGCATTGCATAATCCAAACGGCATGACTTTAAATTGCCACAGACCCTTTCCTGTGGAGAATGCAGTTTTCTCCTTGTCCTTAGGGTCAATTTCAACCTGCCAGTAGCCACTTTTCAGATCCAGCGTACTAAACCACTTTACGCCTGTAAGCATGTCCAGCGTGTCATCAATTCTTGGCAAGGGATAGCTGTCCTTCTTTGTAACGTCGTTTAGGCGGCGGTAGTCAACACAAAACCGCATGCTGCCGTCCTTCTTCTTTACCAGCACCACAGGTGAACACCATGGACTAGATGAAGGTTCAATAACACCATCCTTCACCATTCCCTCAATCATGGTTTCCACTTCCTTTTCACGTGCTACAGGCAATCTTCTTGGCCGCTGACGAATAGGCAATTCTTGTCTTGTGTTTATTTTGTGTTGAACTAAGCCAGTCTTTCCTATGTCAGCTTCGTTTGACGAGAAAACATTGGCGTACTTGAGTAACAACTTCTTCGCTTTTGATGATTAGGCTGTTTCCATCATGGGTTTGTGAGATCGAAATCCTTGGGGCTCTTTTAACATCAGCCAGTACCCGCCCCGCAGTCCTGGCTTTTACTCGTTTCCCTGCTGCTGCTGGGCGGTGCTATTATCCGCACTACCCTCTCGAGATCGATCACCTTCCCTTTCTACAGTTCGTTTAGGGCAGCTGGATCGAAGATGGCCCCTTTCCCCACAGCCGTAGCACCTAGGGTTGTAGCCCTTATTGCGGTCCTGAACTGTAGCTGCTGCAACCTCCCTGACGCGGTGGGAACGATGATAGATACTGCCGCACGGCTTCCACCTCCAGTGCATGGGTCAAGGCGTTCTTAAGCGTCTCGTGGTGCCCGAGCCTCACAGCAGCTCTGACTTCAAGGTCGCGGATGCCGTCGATGAATGTCTGCACCAGGTTCCCTACAATGAGCGCAGGTACAGACTGGTACGCTTTTCGAACCAGCTTCTCCACCTCAAGGGCCCACTGCTGCAGGTTTTCGTTACTGCGTTGCACGCGATCTTTGAGCTGCGCACGAAAGACGTGTTCCAGGTGAGCATAGCCATATCTCGCCTCCAATGCCTCAAGGAGTTGCTCGTAAGTCACTTCCTTACCGAGAGCTTCCAGAACATTTAAGGCCTGGTCGCGTAGGCCTAGGGTGAGAGTAGTCATGGCCTGACTTTTATTCCAGCCGTTCGCTTTCATGACAGCCTCGAACTGGATTTTGTAGGCCGACCAGGAAGAACTCCCGTCGAACGGCGGCACTTTGAATCCACGTAGCGAAGGTGTTGTAGCTACCACGGGAGCTGTAATTCCATCTCCAAGTTTGAGATCGTCCAGCGTTTTCTTCACATCAGCCATCACGTTGTCAACCCGATTGTTCACTTGGTCGATTCGGGTTTCAGCTTCCGACAGGCGGTTGTCATGTTGAGCAACCCTATCCTTCACCTCCTTTATCTCTTTCCCGAAGGTAGCGTGAAGGTCCTTCCTGAGGAGCATCTGGTCTTCCATACCGCGCTGCAGCTGCTCTTCCAACCGACGGATCTGTTCCTCCTGTCGGCGGGCCTGTTCCTCCTGTCGGCGGGCCTGTTCCTCCTGTTGGCGGGCCTGTTCCTCCTGTCGGCGAGCCTGATCCTGCAGCATCATCATCAGAGCACCTAAGTCAGGTGCTGCAGATGCAGGAGCTGCTGACGGGCCGGCCTCCGTGGTTAGCAGCTGGCCCTCCGACGTTTGCGGCGTTGCATTACCAAATCGTCTCTGGTCCGTCTCCTGTTGGCGTTGACTTCGGGTACGGATACCCTCCGTATCGTCTTTAGGTAAAATCGGCATATTTGATCCCACTTCTGACACCAATTGTTACGAGCTTGGGATTCGAGACAATTAAAAACTGCGCATTGAATTACCAAAATTATATACACTTTAATTACACAACACTAATTACAATCTAAAATCACACTAATAATAAAACACAGTTCACCGTTATTTCGCTTCGAAGTATTCTCTTGTATCGCCAATTCAATACTGCCCCGGTCGTGGTCTATACCGGCCTTATATAGGGCCTCAGATAGTTTCCAGAACCTTCTACTGTAGCGACATCTTGAATGTTCGAGTACATATCGGTCCCGAAATTTCTGGAAGGATCTCGACTCTCCTAGTTCTGCTACTCGACACTAGAGGGCGCTAGTGTAACTAGTGTTGCCATGTACAAGACATTAATAGTGGCGTGCAACACTTTCTTTTACTCGACACTAGAGGGCGCTAGTGTAACTAGTGTTGCCATGTACAAGACATTAATAGTGGCGCGCAACAATATCTTCATTATGTATTTGATCACGTAGAGAAACATGTATATTCTATGGGATAAAGTAAGCAGCGACGTTTTGCAATGGAGTTATGAAGGTGTGTGATGTTTTTTTTTTTAAAGTAAAGGGAGCAAACAAGCATGTGGGCCATCTGATGGTAAGTGTTGATCGCCGTGCATGAACAATTGCAACACCAGGGGTTTCGCGTTACCGGCCTTTTAAAAAGCAGTAAGCTCGTTTCTTGAAGGTCCTTAATTCGTATCGGTCTGTAAAATTCGCTGGTGGTAGGCGAGACCACAAAGACATCGTGCGTGGAAGAAAACTCGTGGTTAAACGCACGGTAGTGGACCGCCAAGTAGGCAGATGATGTGTGGCGCTAATGGTGTGGGTGTGGGTGTGCAGGAGGCGGAGCAGGTGGTGGTGGTGGGCAACCGCGAGTGGATGGCGCGCAACGGCGTGCGCGTGCCCGAGCGCGTGCAGCGCGCGCTGTGCCGCGACGAGCTGCGCGGCTGCACCGCCGTTCTGGCCGCCGTCAACGGTCGGTGCCGCACCCCTTACTCAATTCAAACACTTCATAATACCCTTTGCATTTCTATTCTTATCCTTCGCAATATCGCAAACACACTCACTCTCACACACACACACACACACACACACACACACACACACACACACACACACACACACACACACACACACACACACACACACACACACACACAAACACACACACAAACACACACACAAACACACACACACACACACACACACTCACACACACACACACACACACACACAAACACACACAAACACACACATTCACACACACACACACACACACACACACACACACACACTCACACACACACACTCACACACACACACACACACACACACACTCTCACACTCACACACTCACACTCACACATGCACACACACTCACACACGCACACACACACACTATAGAAAAGTATTAGGAGACCATAACATTATTTGTCGATTCTCCTTTGCCATTAGTCGGCAAAGTATTAACAAATGCTGACGTTGCCAACAGAACAGCTGGTATGCACGATAGGCGTGGCTGATGAAGTGAAGCCGGAAGCACACCTGGCCGTCTACTGCCTCAAGCGCATGGGGCTGCAGGTGTGCCTGCTCACAGGAGACAACAGGAAGACTGCACTTGCCATCGCTAGGCAGGTATAGGATGCACTTGCAGTATTTCTTTTTTCCCGACTACCCCAGAAGGACGGTACTATTATTCGAGAAGAATACGTCTGTGTATGTCTATTACTTTGGCACGCTCCGTAACCTAAACGCCTGGACGGCCTGGACGGTTTTTAACATAAGAAGTGTCGTTAGATTCATCTTAATTGTGGAAGTGATATAGGCTTTGTAATATTTATATATATGTATCTGCGAATACAATAAAGGCAGGAGAAAGTTTTTTACGCAGGCGGGTATTTTGCTTGACTGATCATTTAATTAATATTATTACTTTTATAAATATAACATTGGACAAGAGTACGTTAACACAATGAGTGCCTCTATCGTCATACATATATCCTATGCATTTAATAGTTTTCGATAATTCAGCAATAAGGAAACTTGGCATTTTTATTTGTTAAATATAATTAATAACCAATATGAGTTTTTTCCAAAAAGATCAACAGCTTCTAACCTTGTAAGTTATATATGGGACATTTCTGATGCTATTGATAACGGAGAAGAAGTTCACGCTATATATACTGATTTTCGTAAGGCATTTGATATCGTAAATCATGACATATTAATGCTTAAGCTAGAAGCAATGGGTATTCATGGAACACTGCTTAGATGGTGTGAATCATACTTGAGGAACCGTTCACAACTTATTTATATTAATGGTTTTAAGTCATTCTCTAGTGAAATCCTTTCTGGTGTTCCTCAAGGTTCTCATCTTGGTCCGTTGTTTTTCTTGATATTCATAAACGATATAGGTAAAACTCTTAATTCCAAATTCAAAATGTATGCAGACGACTTAAAAATTTATCGAACTATAAAAAGTGTCCATGATATTGACGCCTTACAGCAAGATCTCGATAAAATTGATAGATGGTGTAAGGATAACCTCATGATATTAAATACACAAAAATGTTACCATATAAAATTTAGCAGAAAAAAGAAGAGTTACGCAGCTGACTATTATATTGGTGACAGTGTCATAAAAGAAGTGTCTTGCTTGCGAGATTTGGGGGTTTTTATAAATGCTACTCTTTCTTTTCGACACCATTTTGATTACATAATTAAAAAATCTTCAAGACTCTCAGGCTTTATTTGTAGGCAAATGAATGTTTTTAAAAACAGTGGACTAACCATAACTATTTACAATTCTCTCGTTAGAAGCCATTTGGAGTACTGCAGTGTTGTTTGGAATCCTATTTATACCATCCACTCTGAGCAAATAGAGCGTGTTCAAAAACGTTTTTTGTATGTCCTTAGTTATGCCGAGAACAAATGCCATATACTTCATTCCTACAAAGATCGGCTAAAACATTTTAAAATGGTTCCGTTGCAAATGCGTAGGAAAATGTTTGATATAATGTTTTTGTATAAATTGATTAATGGTTATATTGACTCACCAATAATTTTAGAGCGCATACAATTCTTAATACCTCGTGCTAATAGTCGCCTTCATAATCGTAAAACATTTAGTCTTCCACTTTGTAGAACCGTTCTCGGACAACATTCGCCATTATATCGCATGTGTTCATCCAGTAACATTGTTCGATCTGAAGTGGATATTTTCATGGGTTCAGTGGCCTCCACAAAAAACAAATTATTACAGTATCTTTATTCCAAGTATGTAATTTAATTTAGTCTTAATTTAATTTAATTTGGTATTTAATTTAGCATGATTATAACATAACTTTAAGTACCAAACTTTATTGTTAATCACATTTTTTACATTATGTGCAAGCTGTGTCTACATATATATTAGAATACAATTTTTGAAATCTTTGTTTTATAAAATACCTGTTAGCATGTTGAAATTGTGTTCTGTCTTGTAGACCAAATAAAGAGAAAAAAAAAACATATGTGTATCATATAAATTGAATTTTTTACTTTCAAAGCGTTTCAAATCCACTTTCCATTTTAAGTTCAATTTGATTTTTACAATAATATATTCTTATACGAATTCTATAAAAATGTTTAAAGTATATGAATGAAATAATAACTCATTAAAAAATTCACTGCATTTTTTATGAGATATTATTTCTATTTTCTATTCTATTAGTCTAAGATATAAGACGTATTTGTTAGTTACAACGCTTAAAAGGCAACAAAAAGTATTTATTTATAAAAGGTATGTGCTGCCAACAATTGGATTATTTTAAAAAGAATATTGAATTGATTTTAAATTATCTTTCTGTTATTCTAGTTAAAATTTATTGGAATTTATTGCTTAGTATTTTTTTAGTAAAAAATAGTCACAATGATAATTTAACGGCGTAGATATTGCGTTATAGACAGATACAATCAGAATGTCGAATCTATATCTTTTGAAGTCGGGTCAAATACATTTAATGTTACAATGAAGGCTAAATCTAAATCTAAATTAAAGTAGTAGATTTAATAATTTCCTTGGTATTTTTATAATGGTATATAATTTAAATTTCATTGCAGGTGGGAATCAATAAAGTGTATGCAGAGGTGTTGCCTTCACATAAAGTGGCCAAAATACAGAAACTTCAGGAGCAGGGGCAAAAAGTAGCAATGGTGAGTTTAGAAAATATAAATTATGTAATGTTTGTTATTATTTTTTAAAGTAAATAGTTACAAAATAATCATTTAGAGACATATTTCTAATAGCAAATTTGGAGTACAAGGAAGGACATGTAAACTTTTTGCTTAGTGTTAAAAAAACACGTTAAACGCGCTATGCTTCCGTTGATTGGTTGGACAACAAATAGACTGCCAAATTAATTATAGATTGCAGTTTCGCTAGTATAAATGGCATCGGCTAAAATATGCTTAACAACATAATGTTGATTTTGGGGAAATGGATGTTTATGTTTTTTGTTCTGCTTATCAATGTGTAAACAGTTTTTGATAGCTATTAAGGTTCACTTCCGTTTGCACTGACTGCTGTTTTGGTGACCGAGAGACGTGATTACTTGAAATGATTTATGTACAACTGTCTTTAAGAAAATTATTGTCGTAGGCCGTATAGTGGCGATGTAAGAATATACACTAGTTCATATCATCCCGTGGGTGTCGTTAGAGGCGACCGAGGGAAACAATCCAGGAGACGGTATCAGCATCTTTCTTATAATAGCTGAATAGAAATTTTTGTACGTGGTAGATCCATGCTGCAGCTATATTAATAGAATAGTTGTAGCACGAATGGGTCAGCTCGACCGGGGAAGGACCACGCTCTCACAGAATATTGGCGTAAAATAGCAGCTTAACGCTGCTATGTTTCGTATGGTGAGTGTAGAGAACCGGAGACCCTTTTTACTGGAAAAGAGGCATTATATCTCAATCCTCAAGGCTGACAACGCATCTGCATTTTAATTCGTAAATGAAAATAGGTGCCTACCTACCACCTACCTACGAGCTCACAGTCCACCTACCACCAGGTGGACTGTGAGCTCGTTTGTCACCCTGATTCTATAAAAAAATGACAGACTGCGATTGCCTACCTGCCTGCTTAGCGTGGCAAATATCCACCGTAATCTATGGGGGTAGTAAGAGGTGTAGAAAAGGGCTTTTCATAGGCTGTGTAATAGTAATGGTAGTCAGCTGCGACGGTAGTAAAGCGGGCGGGGTGGGTTGGTGGGGCGTTGTTACTGTGGCGCTCGGCGCATGAGGTACGGTGACGGTGGCGGTGGCGCGGCTTGCAGGTGGGCGACGGCGTGAACGACTCGCCGGCGCTGGCGCGCGCGGACGTGGGCATCGCCATCGCCAGCGGCACCGACGTGGCCGTCGAGGCCGCCGACCTCGTGCTCATGCGGGTCAGTCCACGTACCTCCCCTCTCCTCTACCTCCCCCCCTCCTCCTCCTCCTCTCTCTCCTTCTCCTCTCTCTCCTCCTCCTCACCTTCTTTATCCCTACACTTTTAATTTAGAATAGTAACAACTTAATTCACGTTTCTACATTCATTTCATATTATTACTCAAAATTTGATGACTATTTTAACTTTATTTGAGAACAATAAAAATACAATGTCACCACCATTTTATGTGGTAGAACCACGCTTCAGCTATGCTATAGTTGTAGTACGAATGGGTCGACTCGAGCGGGGTAGGACCAGATTAGACTACCAACGCCCATGAACAACCGACGACACCAAGGCGATTGCAGATGCCTTGCAGGCCATTTAAAAAGAATACACTTTTTTGTCACATTATTCTCCGTAGGTCCTGAATTCGAATCCAGTAATATTTTTATACAAAAATTAATTATTCATTTTAAATTTAATTGCGGTTGTCTTTGCATGTCAGATACTGCAACGGACTGTACTTTCATCATCTCATGTCAAAATAATTTAGTCATTTCAATAGCACTATAATATTGCCTGCACAATCAATATATTATGTATAATAAAATAGCTCCAAACAGTATTTGAAATTATGTCTGTAATTCAACTTGACGAACAAAACGCCATGGAGTGACTGGTGACGAAAACTTTTTAACTTATTATTAGTCGGTATTATTACCAATTTATCTCGATCATAAATAATACACCTTTTTAGCCTTTTAAGTCCATTCTTGAATATGACTCCTAAGTTGAAGGTAGTAACAGTCACAATACCGGATGTGTAGATCTTTGGTGCTCATGTATAACACTTATTAAAATAAATAATAATAATTAGCGAATACTTAGTCCTGAGGTGTAGTAGCTCAGATTTAACGCTCGTTCTAAAGGGCAATGGCAGAAAAATAGTTGACAAAAATTATTGCGTCTAGTAATAAGTATATATAAAATGAGTTTTATTATTTTTCTATGATTTTTCATATAAAAATGTATTGTAATTAAAGCCACAGAAGAAAACAAACATTTTTGGGAATATCAAATGACTTAAATCATTTTACTCTATTCAAGTGTTAAAAAGGTTCAAATCTAAATATCTTTTTTTATTGACGCCTTCTCAGGACAAAATTCTTTGACAGAGTTATTAAGGGAGTGACGCTTAACATTTTATTCTCAACTAATTTTATGTATGAAAGTCTGCCATTGTTCTTTCACAGTACGCTATCAACCCGGGTTCAATCCCGGCGGCACTAATTAGTCTGTTAATTCCTATTTTAAATGCTGATTTAGTCACGCGTTCGGCAATGAAGAAAACATCGTGAGGAAAGGAAAGTTACTCATTTAAGAAATAAAAATAAGTTTAAAGATATAATTCGTGGTAGAGCCTACAGCATGGCTATAATATGGTTCTAGCACAAATGGGTCGACTCTATCGAGGTAGGACCATACTCACAAAATACCAGACTAAAATAGCAGCTGAATGTTACTGGTCCGAGAGCTCATGACGCATTTTTCATGAAGTGTTTGATGCATCATGAAACTTTGTTTAAAGATATCAGTCGACTCAATAAGTAAGTATATGACTGTCTGCTTGGCCTACCTGGGTACACCTGGTACTGCGCATACAGTTAAGTCGCAAAAAAATTTGCTCAAAAAAAGTGTTTGATTCAAATAATAATAATAATGACTATCCGTCGGCTGAGTTTATAACCAACGAGTTAAGAAAAAAAATGGCAGACACTTCTGAAGGGATTTACATAGGGGCAGGCTACCCCAAAGTGGTATTTACAAAAATTCCGAAAAAAGTGTTTGATTCAGTCTGCCATTTTACAGCGTGTTTATTATATATAATAAAAAATTCTCACAAAAGGGCAGACAGTTTCTCCAGGGGTTACTGATTTAAAAATCTATACAAATAAATAAAATTTAAGTGTTTGTTTTTAATATCAAAATAACAATTTTTTATTAAACGCATATGATATTATATACGAGTACGATATTTATAAGAAAAACACAATTTTTAAAAATTTTTATCTGGCTGTCTGTTCCGGCTAATCTCCGAAATGGCTGGACCGATTTGACAGGACTTTCACTGGCAGATAGTTGATGTTATAACGAGTATTTTAGGCTACTTTTATTTTAGAAAAATCATTAGGGTTCCGCAAAAAAAAAACCTAAATTACACGCGGGCGAAGTCGCGGGAAACAGCTAGTATTTAAATAAATCTTAAAAAATTATAATTATTATCATGTTTGTCAATTGGGATCGGATTCTGCTGCCAATGTACTTATCAAATCATGTGATATAGGTGTATTAATTATTATGCTAGGAAATATGGACCATTTAAAAAGTGATAACATAAATATTTATATTGAATATGGAGCTGCAAACAAGAAACGAGTTATTAATATTATTCAATTATATATTGAATTAGGGACAACTCTTTATACAAGTCTACCAGGATTTCACGCTGTGACAAGATGCGACTATTATCCTGCATTCTTTAAAAAGGGTAAAAGAGACCATTTCAAATTATTAAAAACAATGCAGGTTATCAAAAGGCACTGACGGACCTTGCAAATGACGATGTACCTGGACTCCAATATGAAACATTTACAATACTTGAAAAATTTATCTGTGAGATTTATGGTTATAAAAACAGTACGGATGTTAGTAATGCTCGGTTTCAAAAGTTTTACTCTACTTATAAATCGAAAAATACGAACGAACCATTCCAAAAATCTATTCAAAGATATGATGCCTCAAATTTACCGCCGTGTAAGTCAGAATTACACCAGAATCTTTTGCGTACGCAATACATTACCAGTGTTTGGCGCAATGCTCACTTGGTTAATCCAACTCATTTGGTACCAGCTGGTAATGGATGGATATTAAAAAATATAACGTATGAATTTAAGTGGTTTGAAGGTGATTGCGTATCTGAAACCGTATTAGATGCTATCAAAACTTCGGAAAATAACACTTCCTATTTTATTTTATTTTTTATTTTATTGAATAAGGTACACAAACAGACAGTAGTTATATACAGTTCTAAAATTCAAAGTATGATGGTGTTGATCTAAACTACAATCCAAAAAAGTATACACAGCATAATAATATAACTTCAGTAGAATAATAATTATTATTAAGTATTATTATAGAATAACAAAAATAAACAAGATAAAAAAATACATTAAAAGTTAAGAGCAACACATAAATTACTTTTAAATCTAACAAGGCTACTATCAAATATATCTACATGTACGTTACAACGCTTAATCTCGTCGTAATCACGGCACATTTTGACAACAGGGTTGAAAAAGGAAGTGTTATTTCTGTGTCCGTCTAACCTAAATATTCTTTGAACACGTTGACGTATACCGGAACTGAAGTTAATTAGGCTTAGTAACTCTGGGCAATCTATTTGAGAATGTACAATCTTGTGCAAGAAAACTTGTTCGGCAAATTGTGTCCTCAAAGATAATCGTTGGACATTAACACTCTCACTGCCATCCGGTCCGCCGATGGGTCGTAACTTTTCGACTAAGGCACGCCAGTATATGCGAAGCTGCCGAGTGCGGCAGGCCATGCGCCCCGTGCGCGACCCGTAGCTTTCCTGCTAAAATATGCCAAAACTTGTCGTTACATTTAAACAATTACCCAGTTCGTCACGCCACACTTACTAATTAATCATTCGCCCGCTGGCAAATTTTTAATGAAAAATTAAAGAAGAGCGAGATCTGTGCTATGGAAAACAAAGATGGGATATTAGTCGTCAGATGGAAAGATAAGCGAGAAGTATTGGCTTTGTCAACTCGGCATACACCTGGTTTTGTAACTATCAGAAGCAAAAGAAACCGTAATAAAGTAAGTTTGAAACCAACACTAATAGCTGACTATAACCTTCATAAATGTTCCATTGATTATTCAGACGAGATGGGAAAAACTTTAGTCGAGAGTCGTATGATGGTAGACGACGCAAGTGACCGTATCTGCCACAAACACTGCGTAGGAAACTTCTCTGCACCCTCTCGATGCTGTCAGAATGTACCATATAAAAGGGGGACCATACAGTGGAAGCGTACTCTAGTACAGAACGAACCAAATTATAAAATAATCGAAGTGATGCGAGAGGTTTGGAGAAATCTTTCGTTATACGAATTATAAACCCTAAGGTTCTGAAACTTTTTTGCGTAATATAATTATAATGTGGACGGAACGAAAATTTTGAGTCGAAATATACTCCCAAATCCTTAACAATCTCCTTGCGTGTCAGAGGCTGGCAATTGATATTGTACTTGAATTCCAGGTGATTGTGTTTAGTAGTGAAGGTGATAACTAAGCACTTACTGATATTTAAGGACAATATTAGCGGAACACCAATCTTGAACTGCATCGATGTCTTTTTGCAATACAATGCAGTCATTCGCGTCACTTATCACGCGATATATCTTCATATCGTCAGCATAAAGTAGGCAGTGACTGTGGATTACGTCAACCAAATTATTTATAAAAACAATGAAAAACAATGGCCCTAAGTGGGATCCTTGGGGAACACCAGACGTGACCGCTGCTGGAGCAGAGTTATAACCTTTAACCGCAACAATCTGGCTCCTCGTGGATATGTACGATCTGACCCGGCGAAGCAAATTACTATGAATACCATATGCCTCTAATTTTGCACACAGTAACTCGTGATTGACCTTGTCAAATGCCTTAGAGAAATCAGTGTAAATTGAGTCCACGAAGTCATGCTGCATACATGAAATTTTCTGCTTAACATGACTGTATATGTGAGAATATATTAATGTTTCAAAAACCTTAGCCATGCAGGAAAGTATGCTTATGGGTCTATAATTATTACATATTGTTCTATCACCGGATTTGTAAATGGGTATTACAAACGCATTTCTCCAAATTTTCGGGAAAGTACCCGTAATTAGTGACTTATTGAAAATAATAGACAATGGCAAACTAAGCTCTTTTGCACACGTCTTTACAAATATAGCAGGAATTCCATCCGGCCCAGGGGCCTTTGAAGCATCCAATTTACAACAAGTTTGACGCACTATTTCAGTTGAAATACGTACATCAGATAAAGTAAGATGATGTTTTGATGGAATGGTAAACGACGCATATTTATTGCTATCCGGTTTGTCGTACACAGATGAAAAATATGTAGAGAAGAGTTCGCAGATGTCCTTCGGTTTGTTTGCGGTGTGAGATCCATAAGTCATGGATTCAGGTATATTTCCACTTGCTCTTTTTCTTTTGACAAATTTCCAGCGACGACAGCGCCGCCACATCACCCCCCTGCTCAGACCGGAGGTCGATAGTGCAGTCTAGATGTCGACAAATTTGCAAGTGCCAGGGAATTGCCTTGTAAGTCTGCGGTGAGTCGAGAAGAAGGCAAGTAATCTGCGAGAGCCGTGCCGAACACTGTAGCGCAGAGAGTAGCTTGAAGGAACACGAAGCATTATTATTCCAACGCTGCGATGGACCTTTGTAAAGCTAGATGGCTTGCAGAATGTGAAGACTGCAGACAATATCTGCTCGGGAGCGAATGAATGTGGTACTTGAGGATGATGACGAAGGTTTTTGAAGTTGTAGTTTCCGAAGGTTGTTGGTTGTGTTCATATCACGTCGGGGTCACCAATGTAGCCAGTGGAAGGAAAAGGGGAGATCTCCCGCCGGGCAAGTTGTTCTGCCCGGGGAGCGGCCAACGCTCCGAGTGGTAGTTCGGAGCTATTCTATATATATATATATTACTTTAATTTCGGAACTTTGTTAGCGCGATTTAGGCTTCGATGTGTTTCGCTTGTGGCGTGACGACAGCGCCGCCACAAACTAATAAAAAATCTCCATTAGCTGTAATTATTGTTGTACATTTGAGTAATTTGAGTATTTTAGTTGTAACAACTGTACAAGACCACGTGATCCGCAATGGGAGCGCGAAGAATGACTAAAGACATATTGGCGACCATCGCTCTCTATCGCACTCATTACAACCCGTGGCACATTTGTCTGCTTTCCTCGCAAGATTTATTTAAATATTTTTTAACTATTAACCCCCGGAGAAACTGTCTGCCCTTTTGTGATATTTTTTTATTATATGTGCATAATAAACACGCTGTAAAAATGGCAGATTAAATAATACACTTTTGTTGGAATTTTTGAAGATATAATTTTGGGGTAGTTTACCCCTATGTCAACCCCTTCAAACGTGTCTGCCATTTTTTCTTAATTCTTTACCAACATAGCTTACGGATAGTCATTATTATTATTTGAATCAAACAATTTTTTCGCATATTGGCGACCGTCGCTCTCTGTCGCACTCATTACAACCCGTAATACATTTATCTTCTATCCACGCAAGATTTATTTAAATACTAGCTGTTCCCCGCGACTTCGCCCGCGTGTTATTTAGGGTTTTATTTTTTTGCGCAGAACCCTAATAATTTTTCTAAAATAAAAGTAGCCTCAAATACTCGTTATAACATCAACTTATTGAGTCGACTGATACCTTTAAACAAAGTTTCATGATGCATCAAACACTTCATGAAAAATGCATCATGAGCTCTCGGACCATACTATTTCGTGTGGTGAGTGTAGAGATCCGTAAATCCTTTTTACTGGAAACGACTCATTCCACCTTAGTCTTGAGAGGCGACAACACATTTGCATTTTGATTCTTAATCGAGGATAAATATGTATAGAGAGAAAGATGCCTATGAGCCACAGAATCCAGTTACCATCAGGTGAACTTTGTGCTCGTTTGTGACCCTTACCCTATATTTCAAAAATGTGTGTGGTGTAATGTGTGTTGGTGGTGGTGCAGAATGACCTGCTGGACGTGGTGGCGTGCCTGGAGCTGTCGCGCTGCACGGTGCGGCGCATCCGCCTCAACTTCGTGTTCGCGTCCGTCTACAACCTGCTGGGCATCCCTCTCGCTAGCGGGGCCTTCGCGCTCTACGGCCTGCAGCTGCAGGTACTACAGAATAGCTTCATTGTCATCTAATGAAATAATAATAAAAAATAAGTTTTTTGTAGCCATTTTGGCCGCCATGAGTTATGATAATTTTTTTTTGACACACTGCGTAATTTGCTTTATAATTATTTTGTTTCGCCTGTGCTGACCAACGAATAATTTATCATCCATGCATCTAAACCACTGCATATTCATCTATGTGAGTTTGTTTCCGTAAATCAGAATTTGTTGAACGATTAGCTCCAATTCCAATACATATTTACGTGATTTTATTTATTCCATTTATTTCAAAACCGATTTTTAATAATCTGTGGTTCTTCGTTATGTATGGCATGGCATAGTTAAGCGTCGCACATCACTGTCGTAAGTGGGCAGTACCCATCCATGAAGTACAACAATATGTGTATGACAGTTTATCTAAAGAAATACGAAACTTCATGGGCGTGAGCTGTCACCCGCACCATGCTATAACGCAAAGACTGACTATAATAATTTATAAAAATGAAACACTGTCGAATATCAAACATACACTACGGACGGAGAAATTACTATATAACCTATATTTTTGACTGTTTCGTTGGTCTAGTGATCGTAAATACGACTCCTCATCATGAGGTCTCTTGGTCTCGAGGTGCTTGTGCGTACACTCGTGTACTGTCCTGCGCACATGGCTAGTCTCCGTTTAGACTAGCCGCCGTGATCGGAATTCGATCGGGAGGACATTATGATATTATAGAACATTATGTTTAGTATTGGAGGCACAGCTATTGGAAATTTATGCATATAGATTAATTGAGTTGTATTAATATCGAACTCAAAAGGAGATTATTATTTTCAATGATCATGAAAATATCAAAATGTATTGATATTATTATTTATAGAAACGTTCGTTCAATGTAATCATTATTTACAGCCGTGGATGGCGTCGGCAGCGATGGCGATGAGTTCAGTGTCGGTGGTCTGCTCTAGTCTACTTCTCAAAACGTAAGTTACCATGATTTAATGCATTTTATAACTTTAAAGCAGTGATTTTTAACATTTTAGTGATAAGGGTCTATTCGACCAATTTTTGGCTTACAATGGACCACCAACTTTTAGACAATAATAAATTGTAGCAAGGTTGATTTTTATGTTTGTTCTATAAATGAAACACCTCAAAACGATTGTGTGACATCTTTGTGCGACCCTCGATTTAATATAAAGTCAATACCTTGAATCGTAAACTTTATCGGTAGTATTTTGCAAACCGACCATCATCTCAGAAATATTTTATATTTGAGACAATTGTATAATGCGTTTGCGGAACACTTTGGGTGCTCCCAGGGACCACCAGTTCTCCACGGACCAACGGTTAAGATCCTCTGCCTTAGAAGTGGTGAAACAGAAAACAGAAACTTTTTTATTCAATATAGATTATAAATAATACTTATTGAAAGTCACTCTTTTGTATGATACCATGTGATTCATTCAGATCAAGGTGCTATTTTATTCTACCGGGACTTCAAACCAACAAAAACGACGGACGCTGCGTACAATTGAAATGACACTAAAAATGCACAACTTCTGAACACGCATTACTTTTTTATTTCCTTAGCAGACAATAAAAGTACACTGTTGGACGCACACATGTACATGTGTATCTATAACCATGTTCCGAAATAATGTAAACAACACGATAAGTTACAAATTCCATTTTTCACATAAAATTATAAACTTATAATATACTTGTACGTCATATTGTTGTTGTTTGTTTCTTGCACTTTTCGGATATAAACCATCCTTTAAACTAGAAAAAGAAAGAGGCCTAGAACTGAGCCCTTAGGATCTCTTACCATTGGTACAAACTTTTGTGTTCAATTTACCCAAATATGAAATCGTATTATTAAAACTGTCTAGAAGAAATCGCTTTTAACGACAAGGCTGCCCATTGTGACACTATTTTTTTTCATCTTCTTTCGTTTATGTATTGTTTTAGTGTACAGTAACAGATTTATCTATCTATCCGTCTAGGGCATAATTATATTAAGCATATTTAGAACCTTATTAGGTGTTTTCCACACTCTCACAGAATACCAGCGTAAAATAGCAGCTTGATGCTGTTGTGTTTTGTATGATGAGTGTAGAGAACCGGAGACCCTTTTTACTGGGAACGAGGCATTCCACCTTTGTCCTCGACGATAAATATAGATGTCTATTGGCCTCAGGATCCACTTACCATCAGATTGACTGTGTGCTCTGTCATTTTGTCACCCTTATCTAATATATAAAAATTAATATTTGTTTGTTTGTTGTCAGTTGTCATTGTTTTTGCTTCTTTTATTTCTCTTGGCAGTTTGTCATACAATCTAGCACAGTCATACAAAAGCTTCTTTTTACCATAGTTTGGGGAGTATAAAATTCTATGTCATTGGTTCGTCTTAGCCTAATTTTTTGTATTTATTTTTTCTTGTTAAAGGTTATTTGTGTATCTTTATTTAATATTTTTCTTATTACAATGCAAGTACAATGCATACTCGTATATGTCTGTAAAATATTAATATTTTTCTTTCCTTGTATATTTTAGGGTTGGTGTGATATATTTATAACAAAACAAAGTTTTTAATAGTTTCATTTCGGGGCGTTAATAGGGCTGTCAGATTTATTTTTGCAGTCATACCCCATACTTCTATTAAATATTCAATGGTTTAACAAGTCTTATCAATCGTGTATCTCACTTGCCGCGGTATACATTGAATCTCGGAAAGCTCCGGTGAGGAAGCTTATTATTAATAAAATTAGTTTACTTCTTATTTCATTATTAATATGTGATTTCTATGTCATGTTGCTATCTACAAAACCATCTATAATATTCTTAAAAAATCATAAATGTAGTTAATATAATAAAATAAACTAGTATTATTTGCATATAAGCTTATGTCACCACACATTTAAATAAAACTAATTTTACGGATTTTATCGCGTATATTAACTTATTTTATATTCCCGACGTTTCGAGCACTTTACAGCACCCATGGTCACGGAGGGGACTGAGGTGTATGACGTCGCAATGTCATAGCTAACCACGGCTACCTTCAGATTAAAAATTATTAATTTTTTTTAATATAAAATAAGTTAATATACGCGATAAAATCCGTAAAATTAGTTTTACTTAAAAGGTTATGTCACTTTTTAGCCCAAGCTAATGAATGCCATTAAGAAATAGTAGTGGTCCCAGAACTAGGCCCTGCGGTACTCTAAAAGTTATATTTGTATGGTTACTTGGCAATTGATCAATCTTAACCACTTGACGATTTTAAATATTAACATTTATTTATGTCATATGCAGATCTACGTATGTCAAGTTCTTTTAATTCACGTAATTATATGTTATGACTAATAGTGTTAAAAGCTTTTTTTGAGACTATGATTACTCCTAGCACATTTTGTTTCTTAAAGTATTAACTATACATATCGTTGCTGAAAAAAATGTTACATTTTTGTCTAAAACCATACTCTTTTATGTAACAAAGATTGTGTGAAGCCAACACCGCTGAAGTTTATTATTTTATTGTTTTAAGGAAAACTTACAGTTATTTGCAATCAATTGGGTGTACATATTTATGTGGAATTGACCATTATTAAGTTTATACATGTAGATTACAAAATAAAAGAGTAGAGTTGCATGCCAAGACAGTTAATTGCTAATTATAAATTATTTTTTACATTATTCGAGAAGTAAAGAGAAGATCCGATAAAATTTTACATCATTTTTATCATCATCTGCTGGTGATGATAATGATATATACATTGTTATTGTTTGCAGCTTCAAGAAGTCTACCCCGGAGCAACTGCGTACCGCGGAGTACTTACAGTCGCTGCAGTGCTCGGAGCTGGAGGAGGTGTCCGTGCACCGCGGCCTGGACGAGCGGCCGCACCGCGCCGCCTCGCCGCTCGCCAGGTGCGTAGCGCACACACGCACACGTACGCACGTACACACGCACGCACACACGCACGCACACACACGCTCGGAGCTGGAGGAGGTGTCCGTGCACCGCGGCCTGGACGAGCGGCCGCACCGCGCCGCCTCGCCGCTCGCCAGGTGCGTAGCGCACACACGCACACGTACGCACGTACACACGCACGCACACACGCACGCACACACACGCTCGGAGCTGGAGGAGGTGTCCGTGCACCGCGGCCTGGACGAGCGGCCGCACCGCGCCGCCTCGCCGCTCGCCAGGTGCGTAGCGCACACACGCACACGTACGCACGTACACACGCACGCACACACGCACGCACACACACGCTCGGAGCTGGAGGAGGTGTCCGTGCACCGCGGCCTGGACGAGCGGCCGCACCGCGCCGCCTCGCCGCTCGCCAGGTGCGTAGCGCACACACGCACACGTACGCACGTACACACGCACGCACACACGCACGCACACACACGCTCGGAGCTGGAGGAGGTGTCCGTGCACCGCGGCCTGGACGAGCGGCCGCACCGCGCCGCCTCGCCGCTCGCCAGGTGCGTAGCGCACACACGCACACGTACGCACGTACACACGCACGCACACACGCACGCACACACACGCTCGGAGCTGGAGGAGGTGTCCGTGCACCGCGGCCTGGACGAGCGGCCGCACCGCGCCGCCTCGCCGCTCGCCAGGTGCGTAGCGCACACACGCACACGTACGCACGTACACACGCACGCACACACGCACGCACACACACGCTCGGAGCTGGAGGAGGTGTCCGTGCACCGCGGCCTGGACAAGCGGCCGCACCGCGCCGCCTCGCCGCTCGCCAGGTGCGTAGCGCACACACGCACACGTACGCACGTACACACGCACGCACACACGCACGCACACACACGCTCGGAGCTGGAGGAGGTGTCCGTGCACCGCGGCCTGGACGAGCGGCCGCACCGCGCCGCCTCGCCGCTCGCCAGGTGCGTAGCGCACACACGCACACGTACGCACGTACACACGCACACGCGTACACACACGCACGCACGCACACACGTACGCACGCACACACATACACACGCAAGCACGTTTGCACTTACACACACAAAAACATGACCGAGCTTACTTGATCGAGCCATTTCATATTTCTTTTTGATTGATTGATTCTTAATTGAGAATAAATGTAGATGGCAGGCTATGGGCTACAGCATCTACTTACTGGACTACATCACATGGACTGTGTGTTCGGTTGTCACCCTTATTCTATAAAAAAACTCACACGCACGTTCACATATAACCACATAGACTGACCTCTTAACCCACATTTTTATTCCGTCCCTCAATCCCCTTAATCTTAGCCTTTTTACTATACGATTCTTTTCTCACTCAACATTTCACCTCACGACTCAAACTTCTCATCCCTCGCTTTTCATCCCCGTGTTTCTCAATCAATTTGCCTCACTTCAAGTTATATCTCTCGGTCCACGGGTTCCACCTGCCCACATCCATCACCAATCTCAAATCTTAAATAGATTATCATAATCACCTACTACACCAGTATTTTTAGATTTTAAAATGCTTGCGTCACGATCACCCATTGCACACAACGTTCTCCTAAAGCTGCGTATCGATTACGGCGCTCCTGGCGCGCGCCTTGCATGACCGCGCCGACCAGTGCGTCCGCGGAACGCGCTCCAAATGTCCCAAGTGCATCAACTAAGCGACATCCGTTCCAGTGCTTGCCCGTTCAACATGGATATCATTCGTATACGAGCAGCTGCCGCTTTCATAGTTCTCTCCTTGCATCTTCTAACCTTTATTATTATACAAGTGGTAAAATTTAAAAATGTTGTACAACCGACTTCAAAATAAATAATAAATAATTTATTGTAGATTTTTTTAAAACCTCTCGACGAAATTCACATGGGACTACCTGGGAAGTATACCCTTTGAAACAAAAAAAAATTTTCCAAATCGGTTCAGGCTTATTTGAGTAATCGGTGAAGATACATAAAAAAAGATTCCGACGGATTAACAACCTCCTCCTATTTTGAAATCGGTTGAAAAACTACTTTTGATATTCCACAGCAGAATTTTTGAACCATATGATTTTATCAATCTACTGCAACTTTGATTATCCATATCTCGCAATGCAACAAACACACAAATGATGAAAACAACCGTCCCAACTGCCGTCTAAACTTAACTTTGTTACGGCTATTTTGAACGGCCCGCTCCATGTTTGGGCGTTCCATCGAATGATTTGGCGCGTTCCAAGGCGGTATCCTTTCCACGCGGCTGGTACTCATAATCTCTTAGAGCGCATAATCGATACGCGGCTTAATGCTGTTGCTATCTATACTAAATGAATCATTTAGTATAGATAGCATTTGAATTCGACTTAGGCCACTTTACACAATTAACCTGGATCGATTTCCGATAGTGCCAGTAACATTGTTGTAATTTTAAGTGCTGATTTATCACTTTCTTAGCAGTGAACGAAAACATCATAAGGAAACTTACATATCTGAGGCCTAAAATATGTTGGAATACGGGAGAAGTTCGCCAAACTTGTTGGAGCAGCAATATAAATGTATCCATAACTCTTTGAGAAATTAAAGGACAACAGTGCCCTGCTGTAAAGACTCTAACTTTAGTTTTTTTACATCTATATAATTAATAGTAGATTTTAGACAACATATATCTTCACAGTAAACTGTTTATAACATCATTGGGAGGTAAATTAAAGTAATGCTAAGACTTCAAAGCCAAGCTTTCTAAGAGTCTGTACATTGGTGCCTCCCACCGTAGGAAGACTTACGTCACCTCCGGACTAATTAATTCACACCTTGAAATTGGTATATACCTATTTATCAAAATTTACCCTAAACACCAATTTTGTCAGCCCTATCTCAGATCTTGGGCCTGTTTAAAGACTGATTAATACGACAGGCATTTAAATAAATATTCGCCGTTAGAACTGAAGGTTTTTGTACCACACCCATGAAACATATATATATAATGCGATTCAAATATAGTAGTATTGCGCGTATGTGCGTAGGTATTTTCTACTAGCGTCCAAAAATCAAGATTCCATTTTTTTTTCTCATGAAATCGTATCTAACAATCATATTGAACATATAAATGATATAAAAAGCACATTGTCAGAAAGATTGTCGAACTTAGTAATATCATCTTTTTAAAATGATCAATTGTTATTTTGACATAAAAAAGCGGTTTTAGTGGCACAAGGTGTAGATTTATCAAGTCCGCTTGGAGGCGTAAACACGATAACTTTTGAAAATATCAATTGTTCAACGCAATCTATTTTTTAAACTCTTCGTCTATCATGTGGGAAGTCATGGAATGTAAATGGCAGTTTAATTTTGTTTTGTTTGGTTATAATAATTTTTTTTCAGTTTTTTTTTCGGTGTTTTGAGCAGCCTTGTATTAATTTATTTTACTAAATACACTTTGCCTCACTCCCGCCCACAGAGTACTTTTTTACTCCGGGCTCAGCCGCCGTCATGAGTGGTCGTTTGTTTACAGCTGTCCGTGCTGAAAAATATCGATTGCTTTAGAAATACAAAATATTCCAAAAACCAAATTTGATACATACTTGACCAAGCTAAGATACAAGCCGATGAGGTGCTAGGCTAGCCTAGGGCGCAGTCGACATTTAATTCGCCTCTGCCTCCGTACTTAATAGAGTGACCTGAAAGTGTACTTTGATGAATGCTACTAAAACTCCTCGAACAGTAGAACTAGGTGTGCCGAGTTTGGCTTCGTTTTGTTAGTTATGATGAGACCTTAGCTCCGGACTTGAAAGAGTTATCTGTAGGTGTACTTCGATGACTGCTACTGGAACTCCTCGACGAAGAGAACTAGATGTGCCGAGCTTGGGCTCGTTTTATTAGTTATGAATACTGGAACTCTTTGACGTATAGAACTACAATTTACATTTTTTTTTTTCACCATCATATGAGCATTATGAGTCGTGTACTTTTGAAATTTCCAAACTTTTTTTAATTGAAGTTTGACAAAATTATCGGAAAATTGGAAGTATAGTAATAAGATTATTGGTGAAAACTTGTGTTTATTTAAACTACTTTAAAAAATAGGTATAATCATTTTTACCAATAGTTTTATTTTAAATATCAAGGCGTATAAAGTGCAGCATGCGTAGCTAACGTAATGAATTCTTCAACATGATAGAAAACTTTGACTAGATTATTTGTTATGCGTTAGTCATCTAACCTACAAAGTGCATACATAAAATATATGTATAACAGTTTTTTAAAGCAATTGACAATGGTGGCCAGAAGGACTCACCTCTACTCATGATACTTATTTTAAAAAATTGTTCAAGGAGAAATAAGACTGCTCTTGTAACGACTCAAAACTTACAGATACTCTGCAAAAAACTATATTCTGTCTAAATTTTAATTAAGCACATGTTTTTCTGCACTAGCTAAAATCTCAGGTTGTTGATGGAAAACGAATTAAAATTCTGTCAATATTTTAATGTAACCTTGTCGAGTTCTACCTTTTTTTGGCATTTTTTAAAACGAGGATTGCGTAACCACCTTCGACCACCTGAGACCTGCAATGCACCATCAAACAGTTCAACTTGTGCACTTTACCATTCTCACGCTGTTGTTTTCTTCCGCACGTAGCGAGAAGCGGGACTCGTGGAAGTCGGCACTCTTACAGGTGTAGTCTCTGACGGTGTGTAGTTTTATTTTATTTTGCTCGAGTGTGTGTCGGTGGACGGTGGACAGTGTTCGGTAATCGGGCTGTGTATGGGTGTTGAGTGGATTTCATGGGAATTTCGGGTTTTTGACATTCATTAAATAATTTAAACAGCTGAAAATATCATTCATTTAACATTATTGAATTATTAATTAAGGTGGGTCTAGTAATTATATAATAGGAGTTATTGGGGGAAAAAAAATAATATACCACGTTTTTCATATAAGTTTCAAATCTCTAGCGCACCGGGAAGCTAGTTTAAAATCAGTTACTAAATTCGACCCGAACAGACTTACACGAAAGTGAGTTAATAAAAACGTGGTAAAAAATCTTTATTCAGAATGCACATAATGTTAATGAAGATACGAGTATTACATTAATTCACTAAATTGTGCGTCCATCTTGTTGTTTGAGTGCGTGTGAACAATCGTGTGAGCGTGTACGGTTGCGTGCGTGTGTTTACTATCATTACATTAGCTTGCGCATTCACTTGAGCAATACATTTATATGGTAACATTTTACTTGCAACATTCTGTATCATTTTCACTTTCATCGTGTTGTTTCTTGCTTTTACTATTTTTGTTTGTGTTGTTTGTTATATTGCATTTAGTTTTGGGCTTATTTTATGTGTGTGTGTGTGTGTAATATATATAACCCAACACTTGCTTGTGTGTATTAAATAATAAGTTCCGGCAGTGTGGTAATCGAAACTAAACAGTGATTATCATTATCATTATTTGTAATAAATACCCTAAACACATCATTGGTTTTTTTTTTAATTAGATAAGATTTTATCATTAACTATAATGCAGCTGGTTACTATATCCACTGCTGAACATAGGCTTCCCCCATAGTTGCCTCATAGGGTGAATATTTTTCATAGTTGTCACACTTAGCACGTGCGTTTACAACCGCAATTTATTATTAGTTGTTATTAGAAAGACCCTGCTTTCCCATCTCCCATATTCTGTTCCTCTGTCGCCATGTCCACCCACGGGTCGACATGGGCTAGTGAATATTCCTACATCGCCACTACGCTATTGAATAAAAACTCATTGAAACTTAATCAGAACTGATTTTTCAATCAAAGTTATTTATGTGATAAAATACAACATACACAATGAAAAATTGCTGTTATATCAATAGAATAGTTTATTTCACTTTTATATTCAGTCAGGTTATGATATATTTACATAGATATCTTTTGTTTGATGATTAAAAATCAGTCCTAGTTGAAAATGTTGTTATTAAAACTTAAATTTAATAGAATAGATAAATAAAACAAAACGGTGTTTATATCTTTATGTGATAATAACCACCATACACACTACTAGCAGCATAATTTCCGTACTATGTACACTTTATATTTGGATGTGGACGATAGCAAAACAAAATTGTACAATCAGTGCATGTTGACACTGATGACCGATGGATCTGAGAAGTGGCCCTTCACTGCTGGCCGTTTGAGGAAGCTCAAGGTCGCTCAGCGATCTCAGTTATGGAGAGGGCTATGCTCGGGGTTTCTCTGCGTGATGAACTTAAAAATGAGGATATACGCAGTAGAACCAGAGTGACCGACATAGCCCAACGGATTAGTAAGCTGAAGTGGCAATGGACCGGCCATATAGCTCGAAGAACCGACAACCAATGGGGAAAATAGGTTTTCGAGTGGCAGCCTCGTACCGGTAGGCGAAGTGTAGGGTGACACCCTACTAGATGGAGTGACGACCTGGTAAGACATGCAGGAAGTCGATGGATGCAGGTGGCTTAGGACCGTCCTTTGTGGGATTCCTTGGGGGAGGCTTATGTTCAGCAGTGAACTTGTGAACGGCTGTAATGATGATAGCAAAAAAAATTCGAAACTTAAATTTAATCACTTTCCTCAACACCTCTATTATTATAATACTAATTCTGTGATCCACGTCAGCTCCTGATATGTATTTGTAGTTGTCCACGGAGTCGCAGTGAAACAAAATTCAGCTTTATATATTTTCTTATACGGCAGAAATTGTTATAAAAAAACTAGGGTGCGTGCGCTGTAACTGAACAATTGATTGATTGAACGAATGAATAACTTTAATTGCTTTGAACACGTTACAACTTTAGTAATAGACATATTCTTCAATAAAGAAAAGCCGGGTGCAACCATTAAAATAACATGCTAATTTTTGAAATTCATCATATTCCATTATACTTAAAATAATGTTGATTTATTAATGCAATAAAATTTATTATTATTTAATTCTTTAATGCTGTAAAACATGTACTGTGTTACCATAGATTTCTATGTATACTAATAGGCGGGCTCTGCGGCCTCAACATATTACGCACTAAGTTACGGTCAATTCTCCGTAACTCTAGTCGACTGCGAGCGGCCGAGAACACTAGAGTTCTTTTTCTTGTAAACCGCGAACGTTGTTTTTGACAATCTGACATTGATTTTGTTTAATGTGACCAAGAAAACGTTGTCATTATTTATGTGCGCACTTTATCAAAGTATAGATTAGAAGTTTAACTTTCTTTCGTATTTGTCTAAAACACTAACTGTCGCAATTGAAAGTACAACTGCGTGGCATATTTACCGTGCCAGCTACCCGTCTGTGCATGCTGTGCATGCTCCACATCTGTGACTCAGTTTGTGTTCTGACTTGCCGGTCTAGTGGTATACATTGAAGTCTTTGGGTATTGGTATTGGTACCGTGTTCTTTTGTTGTTAACCAACATGTCTATCACCAGAATATTCAACCGCACTAAAAGCAACTCTGGCTGCCTGCTGCAAGAAGAGGAAGACATGCTGACCGTCTCGTTCATCCCCAAGCAAGGTGGAGACCAGCCCGCCCAGCTCAGTCGCGACCAGCCCACCATCAACGGCTGACTAACCACGCCGGCGTCAGATCCCAGTGAATAGTTGGTTGAGTCTTGAAGAAAAATTTGATATGGAAAACATTTTAGACTTTTACAATCAGTACACTCTGTTGTATGTGATAAATAATTTATAGCGAATTCAATACTTTAAATATATAATAATATTTTACAATAAAGGATGTGGAGGATGTGAGAGAGAGAGAGTGTCAAGAGAGGTGGATCGTGGCAAATGGAAGTCCGTAGTCAGCCTACCCCTCTGGATGACAGGTGTGAGTATTTATGTATTACCAATACTTTAAATTATCATCAATAATAAAGCTCACAGCTGGGCAAAGGCTTTTTCATAAATACACAAGCCGGCATTTACACTTATACAATTGTAACATTTGTCTACACTACGATTCGCAGGCGGGCCATGTGCCCGCAACTAAACGCAATTGACAATGCTGATCTTAATAACGAACAATGTGATTGCGTTACTCTGATAGGAACCATTTGAAAATTTGTTTGTAGAAATCATTCCGCGACTGACACTTTTTTTTAATTTTTTTCACTAGTATATATAATACGAGGGTGGATTGAAAAGTACTCGGCCTAACCAAGAAAATAAACAAATACTAAATCAGTTATATTTTTATTTTTCTACATAATCACCATCAAGTTCAATACACTTTTGCCACCTCCCCTTCCAAGCATTTAGACCGTTGAAAAAAGATGATTCTTCCTTAGAGTCAAAATATGCGTCTACAGCTGCTTTGACCTCGTCGTTTGTCGAAAATCTTTGACCTCCCAAGTGCTTTTTTAGGTTAGGGAACAGAAAGAAGTCTGATGGTGCCAGATCAGGTGAATATGGTGGATGCGGTAAGAGTTCAAAGCCACAGTTGTGAATTTCAGCCATTGACTGTACTGACGTGTGAACACGGGCGTTATCTTGATGAAACAGGACTTTTCTTCTGAGCATTCCTCGACGTTTTTCTTTTATTTCCTCTCGTAAACGACGTAGTAAGGTGCAGTAGTAATCTGAGTTTATATTCTGACCCCTTTCAAGATAATCAATCATAATCACACCTTTCGAGTCCCAGAATACTGAAGCCATCACCTTATTTGCCGACAAAATCGACTTAGCCTTTTTAGGGGGTGGTGAACCAGGTCTTCTCCACTGTTTTGATTGTTGTTTTGTTTCCGGTGTACAGTAATGAACCCATGTTTCGTCCATAGTAACAAAACGATTCAAAAAATCATCTGCATCGGCTTCAAATAATTCCAAACAGTCGCGTGAAATAGTCAATCGCGTCCTTTTTTGTTCAACAGAAAGCAGTCGCGGAACCCACCTCGCAGACACCTTGTGGAAACCCAACTCGTTGACAATGATGTTTTGAGTTCATTCATAAGAGATGCCTATAATCTCGGCTATCTCTCTAATTTTTAATCTGCCGTCTCCCATTATTAAATCAAGTACTTTTTTAATATTTTCGTCAGTATTTGCCGTCGAAGGCCTTCCAGAGCGGGGTTCATCTTTCACACTCTCTCTACCACGCTTAAATTCTGCTATCCATTTTTTAACGGATGAATATGACATAGCACAATCGCCTAATGTACTGACCATGTCATCATGGATGGCTTTTGATGATAGCCCCTTCTTATGGAGGTACTTAATGACGGCACGCTGCTCGATTTGCTCCATTCGCGGAAATTATGTGCGATTACTTTGTTAATAAATTTATAAAATCACAACTAATTATCGCACACGTTTCGAACTTCACACAATGAACTAGTCTGAACTGAACTAAATAATGTGGTTAGATTTGATTTTTAGAATTGAATGGATCTGTGTTAGGCCGAGTACTTTTCAATCCACCCTCGTATTTTGTAACCTATAATCTCAAACAAAACACTTATAAACGGTATATTTGTCAGTGGCCTCGCTTGTCAGATGTTTTAACTACTACAGCTTTTTTATTTTCTAGTTGTTATTAGTGAGACACTGCTCCCCTTGTCGCCTTTTACAACACTCACGGGATATGGGATAGTGGATATTCATACATCGCCACTGTTCATTAAATATATAATAAATCATATTCATTACATGGTTACCATATTTGCCTTTTCATGAAAGCAAAAGGTACAAAAACCTAACTTATAATCTTCAAATTAAGCCTCCAAGTATTCAGTTTAAATTTTACTTCCAATAAAACGCACAAAAATTATAAGTGAGGGTTATATGAAAGTATTTTTAATTGATTATTTTTATATATTACTTTTATATGTAAGCTATTTAAATCATGCATTTTTTATTTTAAAATACAAGAAAAATAAAGAGAACTTAGAACATATAGACCAAAGTAACTCATAAATGTCAATAAGTTCTTGTAAACACACGCCAAGACATAGATTTGCGGAGACCAGCACGGCTCAATGAGGGCGTCCACGACTTATTCTACCACCTGGCTACTTAGGAATGAGTTGAAATATTTTATAGATTTCATAGGTGGAAGTTAATTTGTTAGATAAGTGTAGAGATTAATGTTTCTTTCTGATATATTTTATATTAATTAGATTAGAATTTGGTAAACCAAACTACAGATATTCTTAAAAGAAGAATAATTAAAATAAAGTTAATAATGTGTAAAAATTGAAAGAAAACAGCACATTTTGTGTATTTACATACACTATAAACCAAAAAAACTTGTTTAAATCACAACTCTTCAATGATGATGACACTGTGAACATCTGCGTAACAAAAAAGTTCACCTCAGTCCTAACTAGCGCCATCTGGTGTGCGTAATATTTTTAGCCCTCATCATTAAATTTAGTATGATACAAACTAGTAATTACTGTAGCGTAATTTTATTGTAAGTTATTTGAACATGACTCAATGCTGCTGCAAGCTGACAAGATATCACATATGTATATATTGGTCAGGTTGCACCGATAATTTTAACAATCTGTAGCAATTATAAATATAACATAATTTACTGTACATTATCTGTCTGTATGTAGACATAAGTCTGTATTTTTAATCAATGTTTCTAGTTAGTGTGTTTATGTATATATAATATGTAATGTGGGATATTGTAGCAATCTTTATATTGCTTGTATATTCTAAGACATTTTTGAACTGTTCTCCTGTATAAAATTCTAAACTTGTAGCTATGCCAAGGCTAGAGAAAATATAATTATACTGTTAATATAAAATATTTTATATAATAATATTAGGAAGGCTACAGAGTTTACAGTTCCCGTGATGGTGAATGGCTGCTGCAGCCCTGCTTGCAACACCTGCAACCAACTTTAAACAAAGAAGGCGATCGCAGGAAGCGATGTCAACCCTGAGAGCTAAGATGTATTACACAAAGACTTGTGTGTATACCACAAGACGGGCTCTGCGGCCTTAACACATTGCTTACTAAGTTACGCTCAATTCTCCGTAACTCCTAAGTCGAGGAGTTCATTAGAAGGCTAGTTCTTTGTTTTGTAAACCGCAAACGTTAATATCACGTTATGATTATTTATGTGCGCACTTTAACAACGTGATTTGAAGTTTGTATGTAACTATTTCGTATTTGCTTAAAAACAGTAACCGTCGTAAATGAAAATTAAACTACGCGGCGTATTTACTGTGTTACAGTGTTTTTGTTCTGAATTTTCGGTCTTGTAGTATACATAGAAGTGTTTGGTCTTACAGCCTAGAACATTCAAACGAAAACACAAGAGTGGTGGTGTTACAGTTTACTGTATTATATTTGTACTGTATTCATTGTATTACGTAAAATTTATTATTGTGTTCATGAAACGAATATATTATACAATAGTATATTGTGCTCTGCTTAATACATTACATAGCGCTACAAGTATTGTACCATAGACAAAATATAATGAAGACAAAGTTACAAGTTCAGAAATGTCGACTAATTTTTATATGAACCTAAAGCTGTGTATATTGTAAATAAACTAAATTTGTAAAATCATTCCTATCGAATGTGTAATATAAATTAATTTTTATTGACATTAACTACGTGTTCGAATTGTGTTATGAGGAATTATTAATTTGTATTGTTTATGTTTACACGTGCTTACCGTTACAGCCTATTTAAGTTCACTGTTGAACATAAGCCTCCCCCATAGATTGCTCATAGGGGGGATATTTGATTGGATTAGCGACCGCAGTTGTTTTTATTTTTAGTCGTTATTAGGAAGACGCTTCTCTTCATCTCCTGATTTGTTTCATTCTGTCGCCTCTTACGACACCCGCGGGATGATTATATGACGTAGTGGATATTCTTACACCGCCCCGACACGGTAACGCGTACTTGTTATGTTTTAATATATTTAAAAATGTATATTTAGGTAATCAAAAATTTGGCTCAAAGCTATATAGACGCTAACCAAAACAAAATGTTATAATTATGTAATTCCATTAAATTTTCATTAAATAAAATCATCCAATCATTAAAATTCTACGGTTTATATAATATATATGCTGTAGAATTTTTAACAATTTTACACATGCGGTATTAATTTGGTCACAATGATTTGATAGATAGTTAAATTGAATTATGTCTACTTGCTTGTGTGTGTATTTTGTGTAAATTATTTACTGTATTTGTTAAAAGATTTAAGATTGTTGATATATTTGCTACGTTTGTACAACAATAGTGTCCAACTCTTATTCTTACTGTGAAAGGGGATAACTTGCTGAAGTTCAGAATAAGCTCGTTGCATTCATGTGCTGTCTTCACTAGCTTAGTTGATTTCCATTTAAATCAATCAAACCATGTTATCTTCCAGTTCGTTTGTAGATTTACGAGTATTATATTTTTATATCGAATTATTCAGAAATAAAAATAAATGAGAACACATGCAGTTTTTGTTGCACAGAACCTTTTACAACTTTGTAATATGTAAAGAAAACCCTGTCCAATCCAAAAAGGGCACATGGGTACCGTAATGATATTACCAAAAAAAGTGTAGGTAATCGGTCTTACTTACCGTTATCTCTCGTCTCGATTATCACTTACTTAAATCAATTATTCTCTATACCTTTCTGTTGTAATTTAATGAAAATAATATAAAAGCTATTGTTTTTTAAAATATGTGTATTTTACTAAAATTTGCATAAAATTCAGCAAATTATTAAAATCTGGCAACACTTGTCAGCTACAGTATCATTGGATCTCCATGATGTATTGTTTGTATTTGTCCGAGCGCGCCGTATCAAGTTCCCTTTTTAATTATATTCTATTTTATGTTTTGTGGAATATTTATTTTTTACTGAAAAGAACCAAATTTAAACCAAAATCACGTGCACTCTAGTCTACTTGGCTAGATATAAAAGTTTAGTTCAAATTCGTACTAGTATTTATTAATAGATCTATTTGTAAAAATGTAGATACAAATTTGAAAAATATATAATATGCCTTAGGCTTCTAATTCGTTCACCTATCACAACCTTATTTCTCACGTTCAAAAAGTCAGTCGGAATACAAGGTTGTTTGGCCCTTGATGAATTCTTGAAAAGGTATTTAACCATTAGTAAACAATAAGAAGGAGATTAGTCATTAAATGCCATTACAAGCTCTAATCAGTAAGCTGAAGTAGCAATGGGCCGCCTATATAGCTGGAAGAACCGACAACCAAAGGGGAAGGAGGTTCTCGAGTGGCAACAGAAGACACTAGAAACAAAAACAAACTTTTTTATTTACCTAATATTGTGTTAGAAATTATCAAATTATTCTGAAAATTATTTAAATAAAAGAATATTACTCGTATTAGAAATTACTCTGGAGCTTAATTGCTAAAAATAATAAAAGTGTAAGAGCAGGTGTTCAACTTGCTCTCTTGCTTACACAATTAATCATCACTGTTACGGCCTACGGCTGCTCCCATAAAGGTTCAATCCTCCGGGGCCCATCAGCGGAGTTTCAACGAACAGACGTAGGTCGGGCCTCCTAAGGCCAAAGTGGAAAATCTCTAATTACAATAAACAATAAGGGGGAGCGTTCTATACTACTGCCATTCAACAGGCAGAATATTAAACGGAGCTTACCTATATCCAAGGCGACTGGTCCCTCAGGATTCGGTCAGGTCGCATGTGGTTGTGTGGTGCAAGGGAAATAAGGTGCTGTAATGTGTATCTGGGTGTGACTGGTGGTGATTGACCTTATTAGACCTCTGCCGTCGGCAGCAGCCCGGACGTCAGCACCGCTCCAAATTGAGGTAATCTTCCGCGGCGCCGTCCACAGTCACTTTCTTCGTTCGTCACGATGACAGTCCATTAACTCTATCGTACGATTAACTAACTTACAGAAGCCTCTAACTCTCGTTTGTTATAAAGCTTAACACACAAAACGAACATGGAGTGTCCGGATCAAAGGTCACTACCGTTTCGCGTGGCAACAGTTATTGTCGAATATATTGTCGAATGCACTTATACAGATTCTGAGTCGGACCCAATAAGTCCCGGGTAAGGGTATCCAACAAGGAATGCGCGTTACAAATCCTAGACAGTATATTTACTAGACGCCTAAACTATTCCGCGTTTCCCGTACAAAAATTGACAGCGTGCTGACGTTAGCACAGCTGGCAGACGACTCCTATTTGACACCGCGCGTTCTACGCACGACCGAACGTCAAACCGGTATCGCCGAGCCGCGCGCCCTCTGACGTCAATGCCGAAGTCAGCGTTTGGGCGTAAACAATCATCATCTCATCAATCATCATCATCAGTGATTTATTGATAAAACAACTAATTAATTAATAATTACAACCATAACATAGTCCTTAAAAGCTGCAGCATGGCTCTACTACGTTTAAAATCGTTACAACATTCTTTCTGCGGTGCTACCGCAAAACAGACAACAAGGAGATACTGGGTAGAAGCCGCTCTTTATACACTTCTATAACGAGTGTCCAAATCTCACATTCTTTATTGGTATACATTGTAACTTGTACTCACACGTGTGCTCAGCGCGAAAGTCGCTAACGAACTGATTGAAATTGCCTCAATCGCGCTACGTGGCAACGGCAGCTACGATCTAACGAGCAAGATCTTGCGCCCCTGCCGCTCTACTGCTCACAATTAAGGGAGGCAATTAAGGGTCATCCCCACTCCTACACCCTACATTGCCCCTGCATCAGGCAAGTGAGTAACCGCCTTTAGTCGCCTGCACAATACTTTATACTGCTAGAACGAGTGGGAGACTACAGTTCTACCCTCAATTCTTAAAAAAAATGAAATAAACTATTTACAACTAAATTACGCAAGTAGTCGCAATACCTATATCGATACCTCAAAATGGAATCTCTTTCACTTTCTTTTAATCTTTGCGCATCACGTAAACTATAAATTGTTTAAAATGCAACACTGTCAGTCAGCTGTCGGCCGAGCGATCGGACGTAGGTATCTAGCGGTGTAACGATAAGCGGAAGGGAAGGGCGCGGGAAGACACGTGACAAACCACCTTACCGAGCGACGCTTACGAATGTGTGCGTTCGTAAAATAGTAGGCGTTATATATTTATGAATGACAATCAGACTGATTCATTGCGGCACCAATTTTCGACAACTTTTAGCTGTGGCGGCGAACAAATATTTGACAGACACAGTTGATGACACGCCTATTGTGCCATCAACCATGTGTAAAATTAATTATCTTTTTTATGCTTTTTTCACTTGTTTAGACCTAATTAAGTTTAGTTGACACAAACATCAGTTACAAACAGAAGGATACTTGTTTTTAGTGGGTAACTACGTGTTTTTCTACGTGTTTTCTTTGAAATTGAGAGTAAGTGACTTTTTTTATGCAGAGATTACAAACATTTTGTACTATTTTTTATTTTATACAAAATCATTTATATAAGTAGGTACAGCTAAATCACCCCGGAAAACCTTGGTTTTTATTAAATTAAATTTTCACCTAATAATAATATTTATAAATATCAAACAAACAAGAACCTTAATTTGGAAAAAAAAAATAAGGTTTATGATTCATTAATATTTACAAATGTTAAATATTATTTTTAATGTTATACAAATGTAAAAGTAAAGTCGATTTGAAAACGTCTAATTAGTAAGACTAGCAAAACAAGTGTTTTCAAAAGGAAACAAAAATGCCGGTGCTATAAGCGGCGGATTGACGAAAGACTATATTTATTAGCGAACTTTATTTATGCATGAACGGTTTCAAGCAAAATTAAACTTTATACCATATCACAAGAGCACATGGTACTTCGTACTAAGTTTTTTTTTGCGAAATTGAACTTATTAAGATTAGCAGTAAACTGAAGTGGCAATGGGTCGGCGATGTAATTAAAAGACCCGACAAACTGCGGTAATCGCTGTGTAGTGACAACTTTATGGGGGATTATAGTAGTCGGTGGGTGCAGGATGCTCATGACCGTGCTTTGTGGGATATGAGGGCCTATGTTTTACTGTGGGAGGTTGTTTCGATGATGATAGGCTTCCTAATGTGTCTCAGGATCCCAATGTTCATGTGAAATTTGAGTATGAGATACTTTTACGATACTGGAAAAAATCCTACAATGGTCAAGTTTTTAAAAATAAAAATTGCATATTTCGTTAAAAAAGAATAATTAAATAGAAATCAATTTCATTAAATATAAAGCCAACTAGTTTTTCAAATAGCAATTTCATTTTCAAATCTAGATGGACCACCATCTACAATTACACCGCCTTAATCTCACGTATTAACTATGAATTTAGAAGAAATGTATCAAACATTACGCGGCGCCAGCGGTGAAGAAGGTGCCAAGTTTGACGTCGTTCAAAAATGGTTCACACAATGCAATATCATTGATGGAAAGTATGTTACGGACTCATTGTTCACATGCTCTTACCAGAGACTTTGTCCTAATAATGAACCATTGTCTTTAACTAAATTTATTCAGCTGCTGGGTATTCTAGCGAAAGAATCAAAACGAGATGTGAAAATGTTCGAAGAGCGTTTCCGGACGGTGCACAAACAAATCGTAGACGAAATTCTGAAGAGCCGTTCTGAAGAGAAACAAACACAAACAAATTAATATATTCTACAAATTAAACCTATTTCGTTTTATTGGCTTTATGACTGACTCCAACTTTAGCGCGCGCCCCTTTGAATCTCGCTCCCCTGGGGACGTGCCTAGTTTGCCTTTAGAATAATCCGCCACTGTGTACATCCTGTGAACCAATTTTGGATGACATCTTCGCATAAATGGGGCTCAATTTCATGAAGAACGCGAGTTATGTTGACCTTCAGGGCGGCAATTGTCTGTGGTTTTTCTAAAATATCATAAGTGCTCCACAGAAAGTAATCACAAGATCTCAGTGGCCAGTTGATGTCACCACCCCGTGATATGACGAAGCCCTTGAACTTCTCATCCATTAAATTCATTGTTTCCCGTGCAAATGGCAAATGGCCTTCCTATTGGAACCACATGTTTGTGATATCCATACCGTCTATCCTAGGCCACAAAATTTTTTTTATCGTCGTCAGATATCGGTCGCCATTGACAATAAGCGCTGCTCTTTGTGCATCTTTGAAGAAATAAGGGCCGATGAATAGAATGGAATAATTTTTTCTATACATATAATAAAACTGTAAATAGCAGATGTCTGTACATTTAATATTTTTGTAATAAAAGTGATTGAGGGGTACTAAAAATAAGTAATTAAATACATTTCTACCATTTTTAGAATTTTCTGTCTGTCTGTCTGTCTGTCTGTCTGTCTGTTTGTTTGTTAACGTATCACGTATAAAGTACTAATTTATATCATAAGAATTGTTAAGGAAATTATAAAGTGTATCTTCGGGTTACATTTAGTCTTTATTTCATTAAAATCAGTTCATTCCATCAAAAGTTATGATAAATATTCTGAAGTATGGGTAGGGAAGTATAGGCTGTACGAATTGCTCAACGGTGGCTTTGTTTGAGTCATTAAGTGCATTTTTCATATCATAAATCATAGTTAAATTTTGTAAAATAATGATATAATTATGTATATCTAAAACGCAGTAAACAAAAGTAATAAAGAACGTATTAAATATATTATACAAAAATATATTAACGTTATTAACTAAATCTGAAGCACAATAGTTAACCCATTTGTTCGATAGATGGTGGTGTTGTGAAAATGCAATGCAATGTTTTATTAAAATTGGTTAATTCTATCGAAAGTAATGATTATTATTTTGAAATGTAGGTTCGAATTTGTTCAATGGCGCCATAAAATCTCAGAAATAGTAATAAAAAGATTTCTGTGTAAAAAAAACGTTCCATAATAATTAATATATTTATACTTAAAACACAAAAAGAGATAGGATGTTTTCTCACACAAAGGACGTAATAAATGGAGTTGTACAAATTACAAACTTTTCTGAATTGCTGTGTTGAGATTTTTCGCCGATGTATCGTATCGTAGATGACGCCTTGACACATATGAGTATTGGTATTGTATAGTTTGTAATATGTAGTATATTGTAATTTGTATTGTATAGCCAATATTATTTGTAAATTATGTGTTTCTTGTTTATGTTATCTGTGATGGCGTCATTTTGGAGAATAAACCTTTCTTTCTTTCTTTCTTTCTTTCTATTGAGACTTACTGAAGAAATTTGTATCCATCGAAGCCATACAACGGAACCCGACCAAAAATACAAATTTCGCAACGAAATGTCGTGATATTGTATTTATAATATACGCAAAATCAGAACTGCCATTTTAGCGCTTTGGGAACTAGATTTAGCACTTTTTTGGAATGTATAGCGCGCATTTCGAAATTTTAGCACCTAGCGCTTAATCCAGCGCTTTTTGGTGTATTTAGCACACATTTCAATATTTTAGCGACTAGCGGGTTATTAACTCTTTTATAGCAGCACTGTTAGTCCACATTACCGATAATAATAATAATGACCTTTATTATTTTTTCCCACAAATAGTACATTGCAGTTTATCTTTTTCAAACATATTTTTTCCACAAAACAAAGAGCATGGGAGACGAGTCCAAACTAGGATACCCTGTGCTATGGATCTCCTGGCTTCCCCTTTAGGATGATCAACTTGATTTTTTTACCGACGACTATAAGCGGGGAAATCCCCTTTATTAAAGTTTTCGTTCATGATTTTGGCAACGCATTTATTTTGTTTTATTCAGTTTCAGTCAGTTGCTTAGAGCACAGCTAAGTTAAAAGTTACTTAGAAGTTATAACACAAAGAAACTGTGTAGCAACCGCAATCAGATGCTGACATCTGAAACTAAGTTGCGAAATACATTGCACTTTAAAACAATGACATTTTTATTGTTCGTACAGTACTAACTACTGTTGACAGCAATTGCCATAATTATAAGTCGATGTCCCGCGAAGTATTGATACATCAAAAAAATATTGCCAGTAAAAAAACTTAATGTTGTTTTCTTTATTATGATTATATAAAAAAAACACAAACTTTGTTTGTAGTTAATTTAGCGCAAAATCTAGGGCTTTTTTAAAGCGCTGTTTTCATGAAATCTAGCGCTTTTTGTGTTGTCCTAGAGCTGAATGAGTTTTTTTTTATCTGGCAGCACTGCCCAAAAACCCTCTATTAAGAAGTAACTTTCCTTTCAGTTTTAAGCGCGTTCAGTTCCCAGTTACAGTGAGTTTATGTTATGCGATGACCGTAAATAAAGCGCAAGGTCAAACTTTACGCGTTGTAGGAGTGTACCTCAGTACTGACTGTTTTGCACATGGCCAACTCTATGTTGCTTTTTCCCGCGTTAGTAGCCCCCATAACCTTTTTGTGTACACCCCGGCTAAGCCTACTTCTAACGTCGTTTACACAGAAGCTCTATCATAAACGACTTAGAACTTTGATGATAATGATTTATTTAGTTACCACTTATTGATACAGTAATGAAATAAATCGTTTAATATTCTCTTACCTAAACGACAAATTCTTTATGTAAAACCTGTATACGCGAGCTACGCCGCGGGCACAGCTAGTTTATTTAATATAGATCTTATTTCACTTATTATGACAAATCAATAAATCTGAAATTGTATAAAAAGCGTGTATGCGGCGCGTGGTGTGGGCGAGGCGTGTGCGGTTGAACGTCGATAAATGCAATTTGATATTTATTGATTTGTTATAAGACTCAAATTATATGTAACAAATTTCAAAGCGAGTTAGACGCAGGTGCTGACGCGCGTAGCGTGTGCGTTTCGTCGGAACGCGCCCTAATTTGATTGTTATGTGCTAGTGTGCATTTGACAACACGCTGGTGTGCAACATTTCGTTGAATCATCATCATCAATAATCATCTCGAGCAATAAATTAAGATTTCTTCCTTTCACTTAAAAACTAATTAAAGCTATCAAAATTGTATCGAACACTTGATTTGTAACCTTCATGTTAATGACTAATCGTTTTCTTAAAAAAAAATGGAAAATATCAAATGTCATAATAGATATGTGACGTCGTTCTAAAGGTTACCTAATATTTTCTGTCCGTAATAATTTCAAGTAGAAATGGACGCACAGTTTGAAAAACTAGTAAAAATGGGCAAAAACACTCTCGATGGTCTAATTCAATGGATGAAAGATGGTAATATCTAATATTTAGAAGCGACTATTTTACACTTAGGCATAGCATTACTAGGTTGTTTTATATATATACAATACAACCTACTAATACATATATATATATATATATATATATATATATATATATATATATATATCACGGTAGTATAAGTGTATTTATCTGGATTAGGGCGATGGATTTTCGCTTAGCATTAGGAAAAAGTATAATTTTCGCAATGATGACACATCTTTATGACATCTGGATAAACATGCAAAGTTATCTGGATAGGTACCGAGAAACCAATTACATATTTACATATTACGCCAAGAATTGCATGCATAAAGTATAATAGTATAGTATAATTAGTAATATATGTATATATATATATATATATATATATGTGTGTGTGTGTGTATATATACTATATGCAGACCAGGGCGGCTGAAAAGTTCGCGACTTAGGGTACCTATTGATGAGTAATTAGCTTGTTACTCATGTCACTATTTGCAACACTCAGTAGGATTGTAAAAGCAATCACTAATTAAGTTAGCACTCATGTTTTAATTTTTTATTGAACAACAAACATCATCATGTCACGCGAATATGGACATTCTCGAAAATTTGAACACCGCGCCGTGACAAAATTCCTCGTAAAGAAGGGAAATACACCGAAAGACATTTTTGAAGAGATGTCATCGGTTCTTTATGATTGTGTGCCTTCATATACGATGGTGAAAAAATGGACCCGCATATTTCAACAAGGACGAGAGAGCTATGGAGACGACCCTCGCCCGGGCCGCCCTGTTACGGTACTGACCGAAAAAACGTCCAAAAAGTCGAAAAAATCGTTCTGGCCGACCAAAGAATTAAATTGTGGCAGATTGCTGAAGAACTGCAGATTAGCAAAGAACGAGTTCGAGAAATTTTACATGAACATTTAAATATGAGAAAAATTAGCGCGCGCTGGGTACCGAAAATGCTGACACCGCTCAAGCAACGTAGACTCGCAAGTTGTAAAGATTTTTTGGAGCTAGTCGGCGATAACAAAGAAGACATTTGGCAACGGATGTCACCGTAGATGAAACATGGATTCGCCAATATGATCCGCAGTCCAAACAAGAGTTCATGCAGTGGATAAAAAGGAGAAAGGCCGCCGAAGAAACTCAAGCTGGAAAAGTCGGCGTCCAAGCTAATGGCGACTGCTTTCTGGGATAGCGAGGGAATTTTGCTTATCGACTACCTACCCAGGGGAACTACGATGAATGGCCAATATTACGCCAATTAATTGTCTCAGATTCGCGAGGATATTGTACAGAAACGACGTGGGAAACTGACGCGTGGAGTGCTCTTTCTGCAAGACAACTCGCCCGTTCATACCGCACATGTTGCGAGGCAAGCCCTGAAAGACACGGGGTTCTCAGAGATTGACCACCCGCCGTATACGGAGGTATACAGGAAAAACTCGCTCCGTATACAGGAAAAAG